TTGAACGTGCGCTGAACATAACCCATTGAAGTCTATGACTCAAGCCAAACGCTTCATTCATTTAGTCCGTCAAAAACTCTCGAAAATCTTATTATTGCTATATTAACCATTGTGGTGCACAACTTAGAGCAAGTTAAGTTTGCCCAGGTAGGCGCCTAAGTAGCTACACAAACAACAAAATGTGCGCCAATCAGACGCGCATCACATGTTACCATGCACGAAATCATGCAATATATACGACCAGCTTAGCAGCTAAGCCAACCAGTGGTTAGTAGAAACTACCGAGGAAGTGAGGTGCATCTCAACAGTAGTCTGCTTTAAGCAATACCGAATACCGCCCTGAATAATGCACTTCTTTATATAAATAGTATGTATTCGAAGGTGACACTTAACGCTCTACCTAAGCCGCATATATACAGCACATGATACCGGCAAATATCAGTTTATCATGGTTGTCTTCAAATTCAGCAACTTCGATGGACTATGACAGGTGAGTCTTAGATACTCTCAAATATTTTGCTTTCTCGATATTTTTAAGATCGCTGAAGGCTAGTCTATACATTTAGTAGTGCCTTTATGTAAATCACTTTAGGCGGGATTTTTCTAGTCTTTATTATAAAACATAAAGGAGGCTTGCATAGTAAATGGATGAAGAGGTCCGTGCGCTATGCTGTGGACGCGCTTTCGCCTGAACGAATACGTGCACATATATTTTACACATATGGGTCCCATAGCCTCGAAAGCAAGTTACGCCGCTACCTACAGCCATATGTACAGGCCTGCGTGGTAAACAAGGCAACAAAGGGGTATAAACCTTGCCAACGATTTCAGTATTTGTTATCGTAAAGGCCACAACCTAACAAGATTGAATCGGAACGGACTAGCAGTGCTACATCGTGTGTGCTCAGCTAGTGCCAACTAAAATTAAATAAGCTCAAGTCCACAATCATCCGTCGTGACAGAAAACCTTTATTATACAAGCACTCATTCTCCCTATGTGGGCTAGCTTGCTACCGCTTGTAACAATAGTTTAGCTGAAACCCGCAACGCCCCAATAGTGCAGGCGCCTTCGTTTCTGGTCTGACTAAATAGACAGGATCGGGCCCCGGTACTGACAAAGGGTCCAGCCGCAATTGTATAGTACGATGGGCCGGTTAGCATCGTTTTAAGTCACCAGCATGTTCATAGCGTTGTCTATAACACTATACGCTGACCATGTCCCGCTTGGCGCTGTAAAGGCGTGCACACTACACGTCGCACACAGTGTCTGCATGGTCGCGAGAGCCGACCGCTTGCTTGCCTTCACTCTCTCTTGTTCAATACTGTTGCCACCGGCGCAGCTACCGTCTCCACAACCGTCGATTTGGTTCGTTAGCTAGTACAAATTAAGGGTTTCCAGTTAGTAGCACCCGTGAACGGCGGGGTGAGGATCATGGCACCGGTGTGTATTAGCTAGCGGAAACCTGTGTCAGCGAGGCGACGTTCGCGTGCAAAGGTCGAAGACATCTTTGGCAATGGCGAGCTCGCTAGCAGTCACCTAGTCAATATACGGGTGCGTGCATACGCGTAGAGCTTTATGAAACACTGAAGTGGTGACGTCGATCGCCAGCGTACTGATGCCCTTCATTGCAGCCGTACTAATACTTTGTCTGACCCTGTTAGCTTGACTGTCTGGGAGGCTCGTATACAGCGTCGCCCAAACCTCAAAATCCGAGACAATACCATAGCAACGGCAATGACCGCCGAGAGCTAGGAAGGCGGGCTCGTATATAGTCGCGAACTACAAAATTCGGGAAACGACTCTTTGGGCCTTGTAAAAAAAGAGCATTTGAAATCGGCCGTTTGGTGAAGCCCATTCTATCTTTAGGAGTGAACTCATCGTTGTCATTGAAACCACTTATTGTCATGAATGTCTTCACAAACTATTGCACTACTAAGCTATATGAAGTATATAAAGGGCAACGAAAATATGAAACCCGCGCGGAATTCATTTGATACGACTTGCAGTTCTTCTTTCCTCATTCTACCCACTCCTGCTATCCATATGAATGCCGTATCGGAAAGTAATGTGATGAGTCAACCAACAACATACTTACGATGCCAGCTTCATCGACTGCAGGTAGCGGTAGTACTCCACCTGTCGTGAACTGCCACGGGAAGTTAATTTTAACCATACATGCAGAAGTTACGGATGATTATTACATCATAGACTCCTGGGTGACAATGCCTTGAGAACAAAGCGGCATATTGATGTTATCGCCCCGATCGCAACAGCATCGTTGGCTCAGTTAAATTTGTTGAGGAAACTAACTTAAAACGCGACCGAGTAGGAATACAGAAGAACGCCACTCGCCAATTGAAAGAACAGAAAACCACACTACCTGTATTATAAACGTTGACGGTAAATTGTGTTAGGGAGCTTCACGACCATAAAGTGAGAATCTTCGGCTGAACACCTTTTACCTGCCCTACTGTGGCCTAAGCTGCACACTAAGGTACCGAAACACAATACCAAATCGACACAGGCGCGTCGTAGTAATTCTTTTCGCAAAACTCTTGTCTGACCAACGGCCAAAGGACTCGAATGGACAGTCGACGGGAGCGTTTTCATACGGACAAGGCAAAGTCACCCGAAGCAGTATCAACATCAATATTTTGACCACTTCTCACCGTCGTGCGGACGAATGGATGGATTGCAGGTAGACAGGCTGGTACCTAATTCTTTTCGATGCCGCGGAAATTGCGGAGTGCAACTGCTGAGTTTGCTGTGTCCGTTATATTATACGGTAAACAGATCGACCGTATATGCGGAGCACTGAACATTGGGATGTTGGAATAAAGCACCGAGGTGAGGATGCCCGTTTTATGTGAGGCACCTAGATTATATAGATACACCTCCTAAGTTAATTCAGCTACGTGTTCACTGCGCCAATGCATCCACTACTATTATTAGATGTACCCAGCCCATTTTGCACGAGGTACCCTTGCATTAGTAAAGCGACTAGCGTAGCTTACGGAGGAACGCTTGATTAGGCAGTCAATGAAGTCGTTGACAAACACAGGACATCGGCTTGGTCAAGTAAGAGTTTAGTGGATAAATAATATTTCATTTATGAATACAGTCCCCTAACGAAAATTATTATAGTCAGTTGACCATAATAACAACATTTGGTCTGGCTATATAAGCATCCGAAGCCCCTTACCCCAGTGCCCTTTCGGTTTTCCTACCTCGTATGGTTTGATTCCGTACAGACAATCCCGGGGCTATCTTTTTCTGCTGTTACTGACGACGATGCCGCTCTGTTTCGGGACTTTGCGGGAACGATATCGTTATTTTATTATGTTGTTACAACAATAGACTTTTATAGGAATCCTACCAAAATCACTGAGTAGGACAAGCCACTTAGCAAAGGTCCCGGGGTGCCAGGTAAACTTGACTTATTGGCGCCTTTGCAACAAACAAACATGTATGAATGTCTTCACACTGCGGTTGGGACATTCAACGGTCCATCACTCTCGTCGTCCTGTTAACCTTGAGTATGTACGAGAATAATTGTTATAGGCTTAAAATAATATGAAAGATACGTTGTTAGTTGGTTTATTGGCTCCTTATAACTTTCATGAAGACTCGAAGATAAATTCGATCCTGAGTATATCTTCTGGTTTCTGTGACAGACAGGTGAACATGTATAGACGAACTCGTGCCACCTTTCCACAGACCGGATGTGGGTCTTCCATCATCTACAAACCAACGTGACCGAATGGTAATAGTTAGCTATTCATGATATCCGGCCATGACGTATGTAAGCAACGTAAGAGCAGGACAACATAAAAAATTCAGGCTATTAGTGGGCGATCGCCAATGAGACACATGAGGAGTGCATAATATTAGAAAGGAAAAAAAGTACGATCGTCGAACTCTAGTACCCGCCTTTATTGTACGTACGAGACGCAGTAAGGTGGGCAATGGTAAGTAAAAAATAGGCCATCCTTAGGGTAGCCATATACTTTTCATTGCTTGTAAAGAATAACAACAAACTCTTTCAAGCACGACCACTAGCCATGCGCGGCTGTTCTATACGATATATATCATAACCACCGGGACGACTGATGGCAAATAATAGATTCGCATCCATATGATTGAAACACGCTCGGCTGGAATAAAGAGAACAATTTAAACGGAGCGAAATGGGACAGACACCTTCTACAGCGATCCGTGTAAAAATGGGCACGCCTAAAAGCACTGGCTGATGTAGCCATAGTAACTAATTGCTCTTCAAAAAATAAAATCGCCTACGGCAGCTTGAAAGCTTGCCACTACAGTAAAGTTTCCGGACTGCGATTGAAGTATTTAATTAATGCTACCAGCTTTTGAATTATCCGCCGGTTACGGAGACAATGATAATTCGTCCAATAGTACGCGTAACGCCAAGCTTGAAGCACATGATAATGTCTGTCTTCGTTGGTCCAGTCGACTGCACAGGTCACTTACAGCTGAGGTATGGACAAGCCTTTTTACACAGATCAGACGTAGATCTGCCAAGTTCTATTAACTATTGTTTGAACAGAAGCAACAGGAACTGTCGTCAGGGCAAATGACTGGAAATTCAAAGACGTTTCACATGGTGCTAGGCTGCCGTAATCGTTATCGAAGCCAATTTCTAACACCAAATAGTGCCAACCGGGTGCCACCAAACCGGGTCGTTCGAACCCGAAGATCAATCTTCTTGTTTCTACCAATGCTTTAAGTGGTTATTATTGTTCTAATAATGCCTCTATCAATTGCCTTCTCTAAAAGATTTCCCTAAAGTGCGCCACGCAGACATTCAGGACAAGTAGGACGACTTGCATAGTTTATCAAAGCAGAACCGTTAATTTGCACACGACGGACAATAAACTAGTTCGTTCTTTATTTTCTTTTGCGTATGCCTATATTATATAATCCGCTTTCCTATTTAACTCGTTGTACGGCTACACAAAAGGGCTTTTAAAGCGATTACCTCTGTTTCTCTATCTCTCTCTCTCTAGATATATTCGTCTCCCTGAAGGCAGCAGGAAAATGTGATTCGCTTAGAGTCATCGAGGGATTATCTCACTTCGTGGCACTTGAGCAGTGAAGGTACATATTGACGATAGCAATGGCCAAAGCCTCCGCTCTCTGTAAAACGAAAGCGGTAAATGAGTTTAAATAAATGCTACCATTAAACGACTACTGGAACTTTATACGAATAACAATATTCATCTGTGAGCTACCTAAATGAGGAAATGGATCATGTTTATGTTTGATACTGCTGTTAAATACGGATGGAACGGTTTTTAAGTTAGGCGAACACGTTACCGCTGAACCATCACGGGCACACTAAAGCTACCAGAGTAGTTCCGATACTGACACCGTGCAAGCAACCGTGTCTATTCCTAAAAATCGACTTTGTTTGTTTACTCAACATTACAACCGTCAGCGTGCAGCTCGTGTAAGATGGCTTGGACCAATATGTTTTGTAAGTCACCAGTAATAATAGACCGTCCCGTTTGCTAACTGTAGTTGAGCAATCAACTAATACCGGGTGCATTTTCGAAATAATTCTAGACTGGTAGCAAAATTACAGATTTTTTTTATTAAAGATCCTGTTCTCAATAGTCATTTGGTTAGCAGATTCCAGCGCTGAATAAATAGCACGACTTCGGCGCGCTTTTTCCAACTTGACAGAAAAGCAAACTGGAAAATACTCGGTCTTTAATTCCACAGGCAAGATTGTTCATCTTCTGCTGAGCCTCGGATTAAGCATATTTTTTTCAGGTCCAAACGTCCTGATGATGTACTAACTTTAATTCTACCCGTACGACTAAGATCACCTTGTTACTTTACGTCGTCTAATACCGTTTCGTTTTTCATTTACGTTATGGTAGCTGCCATGGCCTTAGTTAGCAGCTAAACAAAACCAGATGCGAATAGGTGCGGTGGAGCTTGCTTGTTCACTAAATCTGATATCAGGCCCTTGCGGTATCAACGAGAAAACCTCAATTGCTATTGACAACTTGTTTATTCGAAGTCTGATTCAGCCGTTATTACTACTCATCTTGTAAGTATGCTCCTACAGTCTGGATTCTAAAAATATACTTTATTCGTATCCATCGACGATTGATCAGAAACATATCTTTGTTTATACGTAAAGCCACAGTTGACGAATTCGGTCAAAGCACTATTACACTCCTAATCGAGGTTGCAGCCTGCTTTGTGTATAATTAATCATGGCATCCTATGGTAGAATCATAACAAAGCAATCAGAGAACTATTGAAAGTGATTTTTGCCGATTCGGAATCATTGTTGCCTTTTCAGCAATAATAATAGTTCAGATAATGAAATTAAAACTACTCTGATTGCCGTATATCCCATTGGTATTGAAACGGCCACCTCATGGTTGAGGTTTTCGCTGGGCTTGAACTGGAAAAACCATCCTTGGTAGCGTGGATGAAACTTTCAGAACGACCTTCTTCTACTCTGTTTGTACATCGATATGTGAATTTTTAAAGAAATTGATTCCGGACGAGAGGACTATGTATACGTTTTACTGTTCAGGCCCATCTTTTCCAACTAATGTTAGCTTCCTGCCAGGATACGCGTTTCAATAGTTGCCCGTTGTTGGTACTACCAGCCTACCCATAAGCAAGGTTTCAACGTCTAATAAAGCAAAGCACTCATTTGTTTGTTATAAAACAGACTTCTAAATGGTTAATTGCAGCTCTCCCATGTTTTTTTTTCGCGGCTTGACGACCACACAGTAATAAATAGTCTTAGTATATAATTAACGGCAGCTGTTAGTCATCCGATGAATCAGAGAAGCTGAGTTTCAATTGTGTATCATCATTGTTTACGCAACGCAGGTCCTTGCCCGGTAGCTTGTTGTTGTGTGCTATTAGTGGTGAAGTATCGGCCAAGCAATAAATCAAAGCTAGCCATTCCAACTGCAGCTGCTACGATTACCGACAACATAGGGATAAGTCGCTATTTGAAACGCAGGCAAGAGCTGCCGTTACAACTGCCTGTACTATTGTCTTTTCGTCGTTTCCACATACAGACCACAATAACATCGCCGCTATTCTGCTGGGCTAGAGGGGACCCATCAGTCTGCCAGAGATGTGGGGCGTCTTTCCGATCCCTGGCTTCCCTAAGGTCCCGACCGTATACACTTCCTCAGCGAAACAGGCTAACCAGAAAGTGAGTTCCGGATGGCTGAAATTGCGGCGGCAGCGAACGACCGTTAGGGCAAATAGGACGATCGTCCGCTGGTACCAGCACCTTCAAAGTGATGCTTCAGACGTTCAGCGCGTTGTCGGTGGGTGTTCGGCCCCATTTCTTTCTCCTTCATGGGGCCCTTCTTTGCTCCCATCCCTCAGGAGGTCTCAGTGGAAAGGCGCCAGAGGGACCAGCAGAACGAGCGAGAGAGGCTCACTCCGCGGAGCGCGCTGCTGCTCTGCTGTGTATTGGCGTAACTACAGCATACGGCGAGAGTCTGTCGTTGCAGGGAGACGGCCGCGCCAACTGGAGAGGTCAGGTCAGGATGGGCTGCGGGTGCTAGCATCGGCGAGTGCCGACCGCGGTACTGGAGCCAACGCCAGTTAACCGACCAAAGCAAGTTAAGACAAAGCGGCATCCAATGAAGCAAACAGACCAACAACGTCCTTTTGTCCTTCCATAACGCTACTGCTTTTGCTCCTATGATCACTACCACTCGTTTGCCTGGCCTCCTGGTGCGGCCACTTGAGTGTGATTCGAATCCGGTAGGAGGACGGAGACCAGCACTCTTGAAGTGACTCAGCAAAAAAGTCGAGTCTGATGGTGAAAATAAGTTGGTATGATGGTAAGAGCGTTGGCTCATACGCTGAGTTGCTAGCCGTGACTCAACGAAGACAGCACGCAGTGCGATAGATCTCCAACTCACTAAAATCATGGCCATTGCCTGACATGTCGACCTTCAAATTACGCAAGGAGTTGCGAACGTATCCGCTTTCTTTAGCGCTTAGCCGACCATCAGCGAACGTCTCGTTCGCCCAAGAGGTGACTACCGCCGTCCAGTTACGATATATATATATAGGGCGGGGCACATATGAAGTACAGACTACGTTCACATCAAGTCCGTTAGCAATCTCCGTTTGACCTCTTGCGTTGAAAATGGCAGACGTCCTCCGACTCCCCATATCGACTTCCGAAACAAACTTTAAGCACTCTCGTTTCATATTACGTTTCCGTACCAGTGATAAACTACAGATGCGGCTGGCGGACACGCTGATCATTCAGAAAAGCGATATTGAGTATGGAAATGAGGGTTGTGCACGTTCAGGGGCCTGCATTTCGAATAAAAGGCCAGTTTGCGGGACCACTCAGTCGACTCTGCCTATTAAGGAGCAAAGCTATTTCCCGTCCTATCTCTGAAGCCGCTGGCTATTCTGCTAGTTGGCCAGTAGCGGATAGAAGCTAGCAGGTGGCTACAGACTCGGAAAGCATGCGGTACGCGTTTCGGCAAAAACTGTGCTGGGCAGGCATGAGAGCCTAGAAAAGCAAAGGAACTTTGGCCGGCTGTGCTTGTTTACGATGCTAAAAGAACAAAAGAATAGGACCCCTGGAGCACGTCGTTGGGTACAACCTCACGTTGCTAATGTTAGTAAAGGCTAGAACCAAACGGAGCAGGTGTAGGTTGACTTCTCTATAGCTTACCCGATAGGCGAGCCGCGCGTATATATGATGTACGCTATTAAAAACAGAAGAAAGCTAGGGGCGAGATAAAAGTGGAGGGTAACGTCGTTAACAGTTGACACTGCCGACTACGACGACGGTCTAAAGGAAAGAAAATGAGATCTTCTGTATTTTTGTAATTAGCTAAGAAGGCATAATACCGCCAGTCGTTCGAGGTGTTATCAGAACGTCGCGACTAGTAACGATCGGAATAGGGAGAGATGCTTTATGGGCTGCAGTAAATGTAGGAATAAGGATTTTTAACAGAAACTCAGAAGCCCGTGAATGCGAGAGCCGCCAAATGGTAGAGGGCCTAGCCTATGCTAGTAATGGTCTCTATGGTGCGCCGTAGAAGGACTCCTCGAAAAACAGAGATAACTGTCTTCTAGAAACAATTGTATTCATGTCATAGGATTCTACCCATTCATCGGGTGAGAATAGTTACATCCAATGTAAACTACAACACCTTGGTTGGCGACCTCACTTTGGCCTTTAAATAATCACTATCCTAATCATGCTTAAGGATATTGGGGCTAGCAAATGACTATGATTTTAGCAGCCCACTTGAGAGCTGGTGCATCAATTTATACCTGTTTATTGAACACCAAGTATTTGGGTTCTGGACACATACATGCCAACAGATCATATATTAAAAAAATAGTGCGCCCTTAAAAGTACTCATCGTTCGATGAATTTTTCACTTGTGAAGGCATAAGGAAAAATTTGCACAGGCTTCACTGTTAGATTTTCGCGCACATTTGCGCCCCAATCGAATAACATGACGTGGATTAGTCTCATAAGAAAATCGTCGAAAATAATGGTCGTAGGCACTACACAGCGGCCACTAAGGTAATCACTGCATTCATGAACGGTGACGGACGTATATATATATATAAAGAAGAAGCGAATATCCACAGTAGAGTATATATGATTTCCAGTGATGGTGGAAACAGCAACGATCCCCATCCGATCGTCAAATGCTGAACAACGACCTTTCGATGAATAAGTAAGCCCCCTACTGTTCTTTGCATAGATCTATAAGTAGTTATATAAGGACTGAGGACAATAACACGCTAATCAGCTATATTTTTATCTCCATAAGAACAGGGCAAGCCGAAAAACTGTTCTATGAAACGATCGTTGTGACGGTATCCTACCGACCTATTCGTAGACGTCCTATAGACGGACATATTCAGTGCCACAGTAGATGACCCAATGATCAACTAGTGACGTTCTCATTTACACAAAGCAAGAACTCTATTTGCTGTACATTTCAATGAACAATATTCTCCGCGGGCGACAAGCCTGATATCCACTGCAAGCCGACAGAAGAAACAGCGGTCAGAGATTTGCTTCTTTAGCTGGCTCCGTCCTTCCTGCCATGCTCTGCAGCAGAATCACTCCCGTCAGAGAAGTACTCCTTAGTCGCCTCTGCCAGCAGTGGCGCATTGTTAGCACTGGCGTACTTTTACTATCATTCACAGAACACTGACACCCTAGCACAATATGTTGTAGTACTCCATATTTAGCGTAATAGATACATACATAGTGGGCGGCCAAATATCGGTAGGCCCACACTCACCTACGTGTTCGTATCGTAAACTACGCACGCATACCCATTCATAGAGACGGAAGCGCTATTTAATTAGATCTTACGTTGCAACACGTATTTCGAATAGATTCTGGTGCAGCAGTTGGTTCTCGTAGGGGTGTTGATTACCCCACTACCCCTCCCCTGCGTGTTAAACCTACTCGTAAAATTGCGTTGAGTGAGAACTAGTTAGGTCTAGTTTCTCTGCGAATCCGGTTCAGTAGCGCTAGTAGTGGTTTGTTCTTCTTTTTGCTGTTCTGCAATAGTTTTCGTCACGAGACAAAGCAAGTGCTCGTTGATGCTGGTAAAGGCAGCGCGGTTCCCGATTGTTTTTTCGTTTGTGTTCCTCGTGCGTTTTTACGCAGTTCTCTATTATCAATATCTTCTGTTGTGCTGTCCTTATATTTTCTGGTATTTTGCTTCTATTTGTCTGCCTGACCTAATAATAATCACTCGGGCAGCACAAAAACTGCGGCTCACGATTGGTGGCAAGTTGCTTCTCGTTGTTGTTGCCACTGCCTTCGCACGGCCACTGCACAGGGCCTGTGGGTACCCTCGAGGACTAAGCACCGGCTTGGCCTTCTTAATTGTTTGCCGCTGCTGCTGCCGCACAGCGTGCCGCACTAACTGACTAATCGTCACACTTGGTTCCGAATATTCACGCTACTTTTTTTCCATCCTAACGCTCGTTTACTTCCTCCTCAGTGACTGCTTTGTTTCCAACAGCTTTATGTTCCCGCACTTCACAGCACTCACCCAACGCACCCAAAAACAGAGATACAGAGACACTTGGGCCGAAATAAACACAACCAGCTGCAGTCGAAGCTGGTGCTACAAACGATGGCCGACACCAGCAGCAGCAGCAGCGAACCGAACGACCAACCGTTCTTTTACTATTCGACTATCCGTCTGCACTTTACCGCCGCCAGCGTTCCCCTTCGGTCAGCAATTCGCCGGCCAACGGCACAAGCAACGACCCAATCAATGGTCGACCCAGCAAAGCAAGCAACAGCCAGACATACACAGACCCAAAGAGAGACACGGACTCAAGACACACGATAGATAGCAGTACACGGGAGAATTTTCTCTGTGCTGTGTAGCCGAGTAACCGCTTGCTTTCTAGCCAGCAACTCTGCTGGATGCAGCGGCAGGGCCGTATAGTTGCCGTGCTAGGTATAATCACGGGCAGCGGCAGCGCGGAAACAGCAGCTTCAGAGACGACGACGATGGCGGCGGCGGCGGCGACGGCAACGGCAGCACGACGAGTGGATAGCATATAGTAAACTTGAGAGTGAGCGGAGAGGACAGAGTGCAAACGGCTGTAGGCAGACGCTACTGAGCTCAATGCAGAGACTAATTTCCGCTGCAGCTTGAATCCTTCGATGGTTGTGAGACCCTCCCTCACTACTACTGCCACCATCGCCAGCAGAGCGCGCTGATGGACATGGCTCTGGGTTTATCGATGTGGCTGCTTCTCCATATCTACGCGGGTATGTGTGTTAGGTTATGCCGGGCTGTTTGTCCGTATGACTCTCTCTGTACTCGAAAATTTTCGTTGCTCTCTATGGTGGTAGAGCAGCGTCATGGGGTAGTAGTCACGCACAGAGCGAACGCGCAAGAAGAGAGTGAGGGAAACAGGCAGAATACCGACATCTGCGTCTGTTGAAGTATGTCTGTGTACCGACAAATGAGAGACCGTATGGGTATATACGTAGGCTGTCGACTCACTCAGCTGCTGTCTCCCGAGTCAGCCGCTAGACGGCTCTACTGTCGCTTGCGCTGGCATGCCAGTGGCGAGTGCATCTGTCTTGAACCCTGATCCACAACGAGATATCGACCGGGGCCGCGGCGCGTGCGCTAAGTAGAGTACCCCTTGAACAGAACGCTACGTACTGTACGTGGTGCACCCGTAGTGGAGCACCCGGGTAGGTACACAGACGTATGCGATTCACACGTACGCAATGGAACTGTTGCGGCAGCTCGACCCCACGGCCGCCCCGCCTGGCGATAATAGCACCACCAACTGTAGTCGTGTTGGGCTCACCGTACTTTCACTCAATTTGTCACACATCACCCTCGAACTAGGAGCTGATCGAACATGAGCGTTCTGCTCTAGTTCAGTGGTGTCTGGTAGCGACCGCAGGCCTAGTCCCCTCAGCACTGTCCTTCTCCCCTCTGTCGTATCGAGGCCAGCTCCCAGAGGCTCTGACTCTATGCCTATCGTACACTCCGCACGTACACAATTCTGCTGGCCGCTAGACAGCGTATAGTGAGTCACAACCATTTCCACACATAAATGTGCGGTTGTAAGCGACTTGAGAGTGACCACATCCAGCTACGGATCGGCTGATATCTACACTCCGGGTTACCCCAGCTTCTCGAGAAGAAATCAGTCAGTTAACATGGGCAACCCGAACACCCGACCCAGTCGAATGACAACAAGGCCCACCATAACGAACTGATAAATGTAAGACGAGGAGGAAGAAGGTCGAACGGGATAGCAGACGACACTCCGTCACAGGCGATAGTGAATCAGACGAACGCGGTAAACACTAGCATTGCCAGAACGACAGAAATGTCAGCAGCCTATGAAAGTATAACGGCGTGACATGATAGCTGCGCGGAGAAAGTGTCCTATGTTGCAGTAAAGCTCTAATCCTGAAGAGAAGAATAACCCTTCGTTCTAATAAAACTGACTGGCGGTAATAGCAACGGGAAGGCATTAAAAGAGTACACTAAATCTAAATAAATTCTAACAGGGAATGAATGTTGACGATAGTTTGTTTAATTTACTATACATCGTCATAAAAATGTTATGCAATTTCGTGTTGCTTTCCACCTGATAGCTAAATGTCTATGCATTATTTTATAACATTTTCTGAAATAAACAAAAAATGTTTGTTTTTATTTTTATTATTATTTAAATAAAAATAAAATTGTAATACATTTTTTGAGGGTTTGCCAGGTACAATGATTTCTCTAATAATTGTATAAGTGCGTGTATTTTTTGAATATGACATTCAGTGATGCTCGCAGTTTCGTTCCATATGGAGTGCTTCATACTTTTCTAGAAACCCTAGTGTATAAATGGATAGTTTCTTGAAGAAAACTTACGTGATTAAATAGAACTTAAAATATCGGATTTACAGTAAGCGGGCTTTATTGCTTTTTTATATATGTCACCTTTCTTTCAGTTTTGTTTGCTGATGGAAAAATGTTAGACACCAATAAAAATATTTTTTGAAGAGTGAAAGGATATTTAATCTGTAATTATCAACCCAATTTTATTTATTCGCTTTTACTGGTCAATCAGAAATCAAAAACTCCGTACTTTATAAATACAAATTAATAACATAATATTCCGATATCACGGTGGCTATACAAAACCGTTTAACAACAGTGTGCGTCATATGATGAATCCAACGAGGGATAAATTAGCTCGAGGGCCTGCCAAATATCTCAGGAACGGTACCGGGGACATCAAACGGCGTGGTATCCGTCACAGTTTTTCCCGCGTCCGGAGCTCTTACATGTATCACTGGGCTCGTGAAAACTAAGGTTTGTTTTCAAACTTCTGTTCCAAAAAAACTGCGCCGTAAATTTTTCGGCAATAGTGGCAGGTCACCTAGGGAATACGCGAGGTGATTCCGGATCATAATGGGCAGTCCCAATGCTCTTTGAAGAATAAGGGCTTTAATTCGATTTGTCTGTTCAAAGTTTTCCATTGTAAGATCTCCTCAAATGACGCGCATTGGATACGTTACGATTAAAGCTACTTCGACTGAATAAATTTATAGCGATTTCGAAGCACAAGCGATGAGGCGGCTCAAACTCTTATAAGGCTTACACTACGTTCCGCATTTTGCAGTGACGTGCGCAGTCTGCCGTTTGCCCGAAGGTTGATTTACAGAGGCGAGAGGCCACCAGGCGAAATACAAAGTGTTACTGGCTGCTGTTCTGAGCCTCATACCCTCCAGTGACCATTTACGGCTAGTCTCAAGTCTGTGACTACTGCTTGAGGGCAGATTTGAGTTTGTCGCACAAGATGACTCCGACTGATTTTGTTAACTATCAGGAAGACGCTTCAGCAAGATGAAGAAGACTGGGCTTTTCTGAGCCACAGCGGTCAAAATTTGTTGTTATCACCTTAATTAAAATGGTTGGGCTCAAAGGTGCATAGACAATTTTGATACTGATATATAATTTTGCATATCAATACTTCCAGTCATTATGAGAATGAAGAATAAAAACTGAAACAAAACTCAGGCCAGTTAAGAACAATTTTGGAGAAACAACTTGAAAAATATACAATAAATATAACAAATACGACTTATTTTGCTCTTTTTATTACTTTTGTGGTACTATACTTAATTTTTTATAAACTGCTCTAAGTATGTCGTCAAAATTCCAAGAAGAACTACAATCCCAGACTTACATCGATTGAATTTGACCATCAGAGTGTACTGGCTATATTTGAACTTCCTTGGCTGGCTGCCAACGGCTTCACGATCGGTTACTTTCTAATTTTGTCGCAATAGGAAAAATATTCAGAGATTAAGAATTTCCCGTATTTCCGAAGTCGACGTTCTGCATTATTACCAATTTCCACGCGGTTTTCGACAGTTCCGGAAAAGCTTATCATGAAACAAAACAGACGTTCCTGAAATTTCTCATATTGGAAAAAAAAGAGCAAAAAGCTATTTCTGATGGACCTGATCTTTTTCAGAGGTTTTTTTTTCCGAAAGTAGGTATCTGTTACTATTTGACTTGCCCACGATTTTGATGTTTTCCACATTTTACCACTTTTTTAGACTTCTACGGCGTTACGCACAATGTATATTGAAAAAACTATAAATAACAAATTGTTCAGGAACCAAATCAAAGCCGTAATTGAGCCGACCGCGGTTACCCTAAGCAAATAAACAACTTAATGGTAGTAAGTGTACCCATAGACTGCACTAATCTGACTTGTGTGAATACTGACGCTTATTGAAACTCTTCAGGTTCGTTTCTCTGAGATCTGTCAACTATTGTCATATGATAGCTTTAGTACGTTTCAACATCTTCCATGTGCTGGGTCCGACCTGATCTGAACACGATATAAATGAAGTATAGGCAGGCAGTAAGTTCGACCACGGTGCTACCTATAAACCTTTTAGTGGTTGAAGTCAAGGCCTCATTTCCAATGGCCAGATTGTTCTAGTGTATCGTAAAAAGCCATCGACCCTCAGCGTACACTCCGCGTACCTTACAACTGAAACTTTCCGCAAGCCACGAAATTCGGTTATGGATAAACAAATATATGGTTCGGTCCAGCTCGAAAATCTCATGTTCACGAGCGCTATCCTAAGACGATCTTATCACGGATTTAAATAAAAGAGTTAATTTATTAAGTAATTATGCTACGCTCGTCTCTTATGTATTTGTGAGTAATAATCAGATTATGCGTTATCCTGAGTATGTTTACTTTTGCTTTCCGAACAGAACTATTTTTTTCATTTAAGACGATTGTAAGATTATCCTTACAGTCAGACTAAGTAATTTTCCAAAAGAACCTAATCAAGAAACAATAAAGGCCAGTATATTACCATCATACTAAGTCACTGTCGGCTGTATTCATACGGATTCGTATAAGGATAAGTGGTAAGTTTTGCTGCTAAAAGAATCATTCAGGCAATTAAAGACGTCTGTGAATCAGTGATTGTATGTATGCTCTTATGTGTACATTCTTCCTCCTCAGAGAACAGTTGACCCAGACTTTAACGGTGCTTTCTGCGTGAATACTTTGATTTTATTAGTAATTATAGTGTTATAATATTAAGCACGTATATTCCGTAGCCTTGTGACAATGCACGTCTCAAACGGGTGCCCGGTTTTGAGGGTTTTTCCACTTAAAAATCTCAGAAAGCTCAATAGTAATCGGCGATTTCGGGAAGCTGTATCCGAACAATATGTAAGATAATGGCGACAAGCAATAAGATGAACACGGTGAATGGCGGGAGGTGACCGTAATTATATTCCATTAACCAGTTTTCCTTGTATCTTCGACGTGCGCGCGCGGTCCCAGGTGCTAAATAGTTTACAAGAAAAAAAAACGCAGAGAGAAAGCTTTTTTTAGCACCGGATGTTCATTGAGGGAATGAAAAAAGACGCTTGTCGAATCCCTCAGCTTGTTAAGGTTTCTTCAAAAAACAAGGTCATCGAAATAGAATACGCTCTCTCACCAATAAAGCACCACTATGAAGCTTTGGTTATCCATTTACCAGGAATTTAAGAGGGCAACTAATGCTTTATTTGTACTACGAAAGGAGGCGTATTTGTCCGGTGTGAATAACACGTCAGTCGCGCTTGAACCGCAACGGGGATAGATAAAGACCAGGGCCGAGGGTTGTCAGACGTGTTTTTAATTGCCTCAAAAAAATTAACACATTTATGCCATCATAGGAATCTAAATCTTCAAAATCGACTTTGGTTCGTGCCCTAGTTCGTGCCCAAGAAAATGCACATAAATCGAGAATTTCTTAATTAACGGCCCCCTTTGCACGACCAAAACAATTTTACTTTCTCCTGTATGGGTTGCAAGGAGTATCAAAAGCCATAATTGCGTGAATTCCACGTTATAGGCTATTCCAGCCTCACCTCGACCCGGACCTCATTTGTATCATACGCCATTCTATGTAGTAAAAAAGTGCCCTGAATGCACGAACGTCAGGCGCCCATTGTCATTGCCCTGTGGAAAAAAATGTAAATCCAAAAGAAGGAAAACAATGGGGGGAAAACAATGGGGTAGAGTGGAGAAACCAATCATTATGATGTACCACTTGATCTTGATTTCTTGAATTGCTCAAATAAAGAGAATTGTTTTTTCCTGTCCTGCTCCGCGTTAATGTATCTATTGATGACCGCTTTTTCGACCGAATTAAGTGGGATCCCGCGCTGCAGTTTTTCAAGCAATGGTCGTAAATGCTTTTCTCGTTCACCTCCGTTCTGGCTGAGTTCCTGAAGTATCTGTAAACAAAGATTCTTCGTGTGATCACCGATAGGCCCTCCGGAGCTTTCCGAAAGCTTACGGGTTTTGGATCTGCCTTCGAGGACTTGAGATGACGTTGTCGTACTCCTTGGGTCGGTAGATGTAGGATCCACAGGAACGTGAAAACTTCCTTGATGCCTCACTTCAGCTGCAATCAGTTAAAGCGAATAATTGTTTCAAGTTTCATCAAACACTACAACTGGATTTTCCTAAGCATCGGACGCAACTGGGCTATTCCGGCGACTAGCATGAAAATAAAAAGACCCATGTATCGCAGACTGAGCCCAACCGGATAAGCAGCAGACGCTAGCACTTCATGAGCATGTCTCTCTTCTTATAATTAATGTAAACTGTATTTCTTCCCTATTAAAAATTAAACTCAATATAATAATTTTAATAATGCGCAACAGTTAATCTAATAAAAATAAGCAGGGCTGGTCAGCATGATATTGAACTTTGGACAAGGTAACTCGCCGTGATTTCTCGTACATTTACAATTTTACAGTACAAAAAAATTGGCCTCACAATTGAAATGTTGGTGTTCAACATCTTTTCTATAGAACGCACTGAATAATGTGAGCAATTGTGACAAAATCGAAATAGTGCACTGTTATTGGAAATACCAGCTAGAGCTTAATATGTTGGGTACTCTGACCTTTAATTAAAAGCATTCGCTGAAGTGAAGCTATCGACGAACAACTCGAAAAAAATACGCTGTAACTTAAGCATACTTGGAACTACGTTAAAAGGAAACGCCATCAGATATAATTGCTATATACACAATTATATAAAAAGTGGTATAATTTATATATTATTATTACTTTTTAACATAATCTAGTAACTATAGCAAACTACCAGTGCGCCTAATTTCGCGTTTGTAGGGAATTTAAATGAAAACTTCTCGCCGAGTCACATCTATATATATATATATATATATATATATATATAGAGAATCACATACTGTACAACCCGTTTAGATTTGCACGATTCAGTAACTCCAAGGAGAGCGCCTCCTTATCTGATAGGTCCCAAGCAAATCGGTAAGCTTCCTTTTGACTATCAATAAAATAAGAAATGCTCTAGATTCAAATATTAAATAAAAATAATAAGAAAAATCACGTCAACCTGTATACTGTATATACGTTACATTGACTTGCCATGTACCGCGTTATAGTATCCTAACGCTAAACATGTATAATGTTAGATCTATCACATATAACAGAATACATCGTAGTGTTAGTCTAGGAAAGAATAAACATCCACAATGCTAAAACAATGTCAGTGGTACCCTACAGGATTCAATGCGCCATAATCTGATCATGTGGGCAGGAAGACCTGACCGGCGGAAAGCCTACCATATTTATAGTAGTTCTTGTACATAGGCTATAAGCGTAATTTTAATACGTCGACTGAAAAAAGAAAAACGAGTCCGCTATTCTTCTACTCTCGCCTCTCGCTTCTAGACCCATTCTAGATTAATTACCAGGGTCACTCATTTTATAGATACAATCGTATACAAAGATTCGATTGCCCTATACATGGTGAACCCTGGGATTCGACTACGATCGTGAACTAGTTAATGGCCTTACCAGTCCTGTCTGTATACGTGGCATATTGACCCGCAACAGCAAATACTATATACCAAGAAATAAATATATACTTACAAAAAATAATCTGTACGACTCGGCTGCAATTTTTCCTATCTATTGTCCCTCTTCAAATACCCTTGAGGTTATTGTTATATTAGCAATAAGACTAATTAGCTGCCGTTGTCGCTTTGTCGAGACTTCTATTCCAAACTTCTGCTCAATGGCTTTCGATGACAAACGAAGGATTCTCGATCCTAAAAAGGATATGACTTGCATGGTTTAGGGGGTATTAGCCCGAAGAGGGTAGCGAAGTGGCTGCTTAATGGTCAAGTTCTCTGTAACCATTGTATACTAAAGTCTACTCTGTCATAACAGTCTACCAATAAGCATTATTTAAATAATCACGCATAATGCCGAATTTTTGGGCTGGTTTTAGCCCACGATGCACTAGCTCATGTTTAGTTATATAAATCTGCACAATTAAATTGGTGCAATTTTATAAATTTTTTTTATAGGATTTCGGGCGACCTCATTGCGCCAGTGTTTGGCATTCTGTCGAGGAGCAAACTGCAGAAATTTTCTCTAACCTCAATGATTAATTTAGGAAGTATAAACAATATAAAACATTGTACAAAGATCTAATGATTAAAAAGAAAGCTTACCTGGGGGTGAGGTTGCGGGCGGTGACTCTATCGACTGCTTAAGGCTGTCGCCGGGTCGGCTGAACCCCCTATCGTGACCAGGGAGAGTTACTGAAAATACATTTGATTTTTATTAGGACCCAGGTTGCCAATCCTCGGAAACAGCCTATTTTGTGCATAAAGCTAATAAGTATTAACAAAATAGTGGCTACTACACAATCATTAATAGTATTGTCTGGCAAAACTGCTCTGTCTAGACATGAAGCAAGGTAGACAACGACGGCTATACATTCCGTAAACACTTTCTTCGACCCACAATTTGGGTTGTTACATTTGGCGACAATTTTGAAGTAAAAGACTTCTATAAATGGTTGGATCTAGGTCGTACGACAACTCGGCCACTCATTGGCATATAATTTATGTTTCTTTAGCCAGTGAACGGTCAGCAATGCAAGCGGCAATAAACGGTTGTCATCTGAATAGACAGATAAGGCACTGTTATATTGGTAAATGGCAAAAATGGTGTTTTACGATATCCACTGTCTACTTGAGCTATTGATCAAATGTTACTTTGTATTTTAGCCTATAAAGACAAACATTGTTTTCTTACATTGAGATCTCTCACACCCAACGTTCAACCAATTCAAATAAGAAATTCGTTTTTGTAGCATGGTATGAATATAGTATTATAGCATGGTATATATAGTAGAATTGTATTAAACAATATATTATAATAAATATCTATATATATAAACCAAATAACCTAAACAAATACCTGAGAGAGCTGTGTCGTTTGCGAGGCCTTTATTTATTTTTTTCCCTTTTCCGCTATTTGGTTCTACTGGTGATTTTCCTGCTCGTATTTGAACATAAATAAACAACAGTATTACAGCATATTCCGATTAACTAAAGCTAGTGCATACGGGTAACAACAGCCTTGGTCCGTCTGCTGGTACTATCAGCAAACGTTTGAACGGCTTCTTGTAAAACATGATCGCCGGTACGAATGGTGATATATTCGGTTGTAGCGAATAGTTTTGGTCAAAGTGGGTCACCAGATAACAACAATCCCTTTACTGATGCAGTGGTGACAGTATGCTTGCCTGCTAAACGTTTATGCTGGAGCCCCCCGTTTGAAGCAATGCCACTACTAGAAGTAAATATTTGTAGTTTGTAAGGGGGTGTGCGTATGCTCTACGTTTGTGTTATTTCGTTAAAGGAATAAATTTCAGGTATAGATACCTGATGGCCTGGATGGAAGTGGCTCGATTTGTTTTCCTAACTCTGGCGCCTGTCGCTTTTCCAGGGCTGAAATAAATCATACAGGCGATAGCTTTACGGAAAGATCGCTATCGAAAATTGTTACCTATAGTCGGACTATGATCATCTGCTTCTAAGTCAGAATAGTGCTTATTTTGAAGCTGACAGGCTGGGCTGACAAACGAAATCGCTGGCAGGAATACGATCGAGGGAGTGGAGAGCGAAATCTATATGAAATACTGCGTCTGCAAGCAATTCTGTGCTAGTGTTTGTGCTCGGATATGGAGAAATCTGTTAGAACAATGTGTTTATGTTACATACATTAATGAAGAACATCAAAGCAATCATATAAATGAATTATTTATAAAGCCTTACGTTTTTCAGATGAAACACCGATTTTCAGGCCTTTATCTATCATAACGCTTTTGGGTTTCGGCCCTCGGACAGGGCTACCATCTTGAACTGCAAAGACCAAAATGTAATTATATTTTTCTCAAACCCCAATATCCTGCACTTCACGTTGTGGAGGGACATCCAAACTGTCGTTTATTTCAGGTCTGTCCTGATAACGAAACATTATAAATTTATAAAGCCTCGTTCGACGTTGAAAAATTGCTTATTTTATTATTGCATTTATTGTGGGTTTTCTTTAAAATTTCGCCAATAGTATTTCAATAGTTAATACGCCTGAAGAACAGTAGCATCATTAAGGCGATAAACGGGAAGCTTAGTGAAGCGTACGGAACCGATCTGAGCGCGACGCTTGAGATGTTCTACCACGTTAATAAAAGCTAAGAATATAAAACAATTTACCGTGGGTTTTTTGAAAGAAAACATTCATTTGAAAAATTAGGTTTTTAATCTCAATTTTAAATGAACTTACTTCGTAATACCCGTAGTCTAGGGACCGTTATTAAAGTGAACGACAACGCATGCAAGATTCCCGGTACGGACTAAATAGGTTGTCAAAACCTATTGACCTATCCTACCGGGAACGTTCATGAAATAGGATTAGAGATGACCTAATTTTCGTTTCAGAATGTTTTCATAGGTACTCAGCCTAAATAAGCCGTAATGGCATTTCATTTCACGTCTATGCTATATATATATATATATATATATATATATATATATATATATCCGATAAACAAACTCTTGGAGAAATAACCAGGTACACAGTACATTCGTTGTCATAAACATATGCGAATTTTTCTATTTACCAGAAAGAACAATTTTCTACAAACGATCAACGCCATTCATCTATATCAAGATCTTACTATGTGTACCAGTTAAACTGGGTTCAGTTGGTTTTTTTGCAGTGTCGTTGATACGTGAGCCTTTGACAGAGCCCTGGGGCACTGGACCTGCACGTTTGCCTTTGGCAACCTCCGAGGCTTGTTTCTCTAGAAACACGAATAAATACATTTGATTATGTGTCACAATATAATTGTGAGAGGAATCCAAATGTGCAATTCTAAGAGGTGGTTGTATCATTATCTTACAGCATGTAATACCTTTTTGAGCTTGATGGCCATTCTATCTGGAATGCCCTCGGAAAAGTTTGTATTACGCAACAAATCATACGCGAACTTTCAACCCAGTTTCCAAATGATAGCAAAAGCAAGCAATCCGGAACTAGGGACATTTGTCTGTGGTTCAGTCAGTATGCAAATACAGGAATATTTAACGATTGGTCACACCCAGTTCCAGCTCAGTTGCCTTTCCAATGGCTTTCTCTTGCTATTACTCTTAGCTAATTTATTACCTTTACCGGGATATGGGTCGCATCAGCATTTGTGTCACTTAGATGCTGAGATTTGGTGTTTCGCAATCTGTCCTTTTGCTTTTTTTTTTATATGGGTGATGATGTGTGTGTGTTGTATTACGTGTGATGTGATAAAATCAAAATATTAATGATTTTATCACAAAAGGACAAATTCTGTTCATGAAAATGTTTGATAATGAAAATCGTGTTTATGATTAACACTGGGCCGTTTCTTCCGATAACACATGTTAACCATAAACACAAAAACATAAAATAGATATATACAGAAATATATATACATATACATATATAACACAGAAGCGGCCCAAAGATAATTATGTCGCTTTCCGAATCCTAGAAAAAGTTATTATTTCGACAGCGACCATAGATACCTACCGTCGTGTCGGACGGCACGTGGGTACCTATGATATTGCCAAGGAACTATACATACATCACCAAACTAAGGAAGCCTGGCTACAAAAAAATGCTGGGGTGCTTTTTAATGCTGTTTTTTTTAATAAAAAAAAATGATGAAAATAAAATTAAACCTCATTTGATGCGGCTTTCCGTCTGCAGATGGAACAGACACGCAACGAAATCGACTTATTTGTATAGCGGTTGATCTCGCGCGATCAAACATTTGTTTTATCTTTTTTGGGACAATAATGTAAACATAAAAAAAATGAAAAAAAATGCTTTATGATCTGTGGAAAAGCCCAGACCGACGCGAAAAAAGCTGATGCCTGTGTTTGGCGTGATTGAAACTATACTGTCATCAACTATCAAGATTGGAGCGTGTTGTTGAAAAAAAATGACCGAATCAATGAACAGTCTTTTCACGATGAGAATGCCAGAGCCCATTTTTGGCTATCTGGCAAAAAATTGTGAGGGTTTCGATAGAAAATTCTCGTACATCCGCTGTATGTCTCTCGGTAGATCTCGCCGGGTCATGTTTGAACCTATGCTGAATTCCCTGACTTCGCTAATTTAGTTTTTCTTTCACCCGAACACCACAGGTTATCGATCGAAAAAATGGAACCAATATACACATCTACCGGCTCCTTTATGTAGTATAGCCGCTTATTGCGTGGCTAATATCAGCTAAACTAAAGATTTCAATGCGGTTTTTTGTCCACTCAATGGAAATCCTTGCAATGTCCGGTTGATTATGCTGCAATGATAATACAAAGGTACAAAACGTTTCATGGTTCTGGGCCCAGTTCGTTAATCTTAGTTACCGAAGCATACTGACATAGTTTTTAATTAAATATTAATTAATAGCTAATCAAGTGAATGTAATTAGTGGCAAGAATACCAGGTTTTTTGAATTTTTTGCTCGATTTCGATTTCGCCGGCTTTGAAGTCGAGCCGAACGAACCTGACGAGTTAGAGCTCGACTGGAAAGGACCAGGAAGTTTAACTCGTGGCCGAGAACGATCGGTTGTCTTCTGCAAAAGTTGTTGAATCCTGCCTGTAGCAATATAACCTGCAATTTACAAACACGGGACCGATCACGTCATACAGATTCGTACATTTTAATCCTTGACAATGACTCGACTAGCGATTAAGGTGGACACGTACCGCGCTTTACGTTGCCTTCCTTGCTAGGCGATCTCGTCGGTTTTTTAGGAGGAACTGCTCGCCCAAGTTTGTCTGTAACAACAGCCAAATCTCACCAAGCATCAAGGAAAACAATGGATGTTAAGAACTATTTAACCAATAATAGTCTCACAATGAGTATACGTATTTGTATATACATCCATCTATCTATTACATATTGCATTGAGAAGGCGATTTTTATCGTTACCCTCAGCTGGTATGGGGTGGTTGATGCTCATTCTGGAGGGTCCGCGGATGAGGCTTTGCTTGTTAGTTGAACTTTTCTCTGAATAGGTGGTTTTCCATAGGTACCTTACGTTACTTCGAAAAAACTGTAGAGTTTGTTTCGGCTGAATTTTAAGCTACGACCACAAAGTCGAAATTCCAGAGAAAAGTCGACTGGTTGATTCAAGAGTGTAAAGTGAGTTCTGATACGGTTTCTTGCTGCACAATGTCGACGTGGAAGTTGGAACTACTTTGGGAATTATTAAAAGAACCTCATCATGAACTACAGGGTGGTAGAATAAAGGCTACGAATAAAATGTTCAACCCTGACATACATCACGTTCGTTTCATTCGTAACATTACGCGTTATATATATGTATATATATATATATATATGTGTATATATATATATATATATATATATATATATATGGCGTAAGGGTACTGCGGCACCGAGTTCTCAGCTCCGAAATTTGGACGTACTAATTTTCGGGCAAAATGATGTTCGGTATCTAGCTTTTTGATGACTGCGAAATCTTGCCTCTGCGGACTTTTTGCATGTGCGCCAAACGTGCTCGGTTTATTTACCGTAATTAGGACCGTTCTTGGTACTTTTCATGCTCATACGACTGATCTGTGCGATAGGCAAGTTACTGGTACGTCAATTTTGAAAACTTGCTGAAAGAAATGTTCGGTTTGGCAAAGGTACAACGAAAAGCCTTACGCGCGAATGAATTGAAATGAAAAATTCTTGTTTTCCATTTCAATTGTAACAACAATTAGGGCAAAAAGACATCGACTCGTACATAGGAAATATTTATGACTGCTTCCTACTGAGAACGGAACGAGGTGATGCGATTTCTAGTTACGCCATTGGCCGTATAGCCTCTGTTTGTGGCACGTAATTACGTTTTTTTGAATAATTTTTTTGAAAATTCAAGGCAACGACCATACCATCTCCTAGTCACACCACGGAATAAGGCAAGCGCAGTAGTAATCGTTTGCAAAAATAGCCACGGATGAGGTTAAGGCAAAGTCATTGCATACAAAGCCGTTATTTAGTACTTACCTTCAAGCTTGTGTTTCCCCCGGCTGTCCTTCAAGTCTAAAAAAAATTATGATTAATGGTGTAAGAAGACAAATTGTTGTATTGGGTTGCGCAGTAGATAATAGTTAACAATCTATAGATTCATTCGAAAACGTACATTTTCATAGTAAGGTACGCTAGCCGTTTTGGGAACTCGTGACGAGTTCCCAGAACAGCTAGACTCTTACGGTCAATGTATGACTAAACGCAATTGCCCGTAGAACCCCAGTAGTAACGACTAGCTCGATCGACAGCCCTTTCATGGACGTAAAGGATGAAAAAGATTAGTAAACAAACCTGACGACGACTTTCCAGCTCTTTTTGAAATGGTACCGACTTTTTGCATAAGCTTTCGATTGTCCCGGGTCTCCTCTGAATGCCGCAGACGCAAAGGTAACGTTAGCTAGAGTAGCTGCACTGACCATTATTTCTTTTGTGATTTCAATAACAACAATTCGCTAAGAGCGCTAAGCTGTTTCCTCGAATTGTAAAGTAGCTAGCTTGACTTGAATTGTTTGAAATTAGAGAGAAAATGTCTAGAACAAATGGGTTAATTACGTTGAAGGTATCTTGCCAATGTTAGGAGTATAGTATCCACTGACTGTGCACACGAATCAATAACTGGTTTTGCTCTCGAAAAGCAGCGAACGATAAACTCACCACACAACGCTGAAAAAATTCTGGGAATTAACATTGGTTAATATTTCGTCATAGTTTTTGCTGGTAAACGCCCAATGGCTAAAAAATGACTCAACTCAATGAATACAAAATTTCAAACGGACTGTCCCAAATGGTCCGGTTAAAACAGCTACACCCACTTCCGCGTAACTATTCTTATTGACCGTAGTAGCCAAACGTGGGTCTATGTACAATCTTTTACTTGGAATGATGGATAAAGCAAGCATCAACTAGAAACAAGTAAGTTTGACTCTGAAATTGGTGTCAGAAAGTGGATTGGTATACTGTACTTATCTAATGAACACATTAATATTTCGTTTGCCCTACTTATGATTCCACCCGTAATTGAAGTCAAACGCGTATCAATACCAGAGCCTGAACTGCTTGAGTCACTTGAAGCGCCCGAGCGCGACTTCAATTGTGAGTCTCCCAGATGGACTTTACCGAACTGATCTGAAAACGTAATCGACTGTGCTAATGAGCTGAAAAAATCAAATCTGCAGTATAAAAGCTACATTGTAATTAGTTCATCATATATATTCATACAACACGAAAACTTCACACGACGCTCTTCACAGAGTACTGAACTTAATAGCATACACCAATATTCCTATGAACAAGCCAACCAGGTGAATACCCATCGGTTTTCTTTATGGTTGACTTATATCAAAAGGGACTGGCGATTCCGAAGCACTTCACCTACCATCAGGCTTTTTACGGCCGCGGACTCCCGACAAAGCTGTGGTCTTTTGGACCGCGCCACCTTCCTGCTTAGGCTGCGAGGAAGAAGGTACGCCCTGAGGTGCAGCAGGCTTTTCTGATTCTGCAGACTGGCCTAAAAGAAAAAACCGTGACAATATGTAGCCTAGTTCTAAAAAGCATACTAACCGCCGCCGATTCCAGTAACAACGACAAGCAAAGCGTGAAGGCCATCGACAACCCAGTTCAAACTTCCTTCATTTCTTTTCATTCCACTATTAACCCAGTTCAAACTTTCTTCACCTCTTTTCACTCCACTAAGTAATATTTTTGCCACGTATCGAGTGTATAATTGCGATATAGGCTTTTGCCATAGTGACAGAAAGTGAAGATGCAAAAAAAATGTAGTCACTGCTTGATCTGCACGAGTGTAGGAAATGCGGACAGAAATGGATTTGGAACGATGTCCCTGACACTGATTAGCCCGAATAAAGGACTTGAATAGGCCCAACTACCGTTTGCATTTTAAATTACAGTTTAGCAGACCTGCAGACCGTTTCCACCAAACAATAGCTATCTATAACAAGAGAAGAGGAACGCAAGCTTGGATCAGGGTCAGCGGAAACTTCGTTAGGCAAAAAAAATTCCTAGTAAACGACAAAAGTAGCTTAAAATGCATTATTTTTCAGCTGCTGTTTTATTTTGTTTGATTTCGGAGCAAATTGTAGATACTTCTTACCCAACATCAAGCCTATTTCGGTGCATTCTTACTTATTAGGTTGGCATCTAATACCGTGTTCATGTTAGCGGAGGAACTATATTTATAGGTAGCATACGAGTTTATGCTTATGGAACTTTGTTTCTTGAGTTTTTCGAATATTTTCCGCCTCAATATCACAATGAGGAGCACGTCAGTTTCACAGGTCGAACATCTCTTTCGCTGCGAAACTTCGTTAATAATACCTAGGTTGACAAATACGACGATTTACAATTTCGTATTGGAAAACTAGGAAAAAGCCTAAGTACTTAAGGTTGTACGGTCGATTTTCTTTGCGGCTGTAATCAAAATGCTTCCGCTAGCAGTATTTCCGCCGCAGCTTATTTTAAGTGTAATTTTAGGGACCAGATAGTATTTGTATAAACAAATACGTGCGGCACTTCACGTTCGTGCATTGATTGCTGTCGCTTGCCGCGTTGATAAAGGAGAGGCCAACCAACAAGTCGGATTGTGTCCAAGCCATTGCTTTGACCTTCTGTTTCGCGATTCCTAATTCAATGGTAGAGAGAAATCAAACGTACGAGGAGACGTTATTAAAACTTAAATCCTTAGTCTGCACAGAAAAACCGTTCTAGTTGTTGGCGGAGTCCTTAGCAAATCCTTTTTGAACCCCGACACTTCACACACACGCCCATTACGTTCTTTTGAAAAATTTCTGATACCGCAAAGCTTCGCTAAAACGTATACACTTTTCTCAAAGCATATCTTAATTGAGCCCAAACGATCTCGCTGATTTCCGCCATAAACAGTCATTAGTATTTCAATTAGATTAAACCGTTATCGCCTTAGCTAAGATGTCACATGTTATTATTAACATGTATTAATATATATATATATATATAATATAAACGTACATTTAGTCTGATGCCTCTTTCGGCCATACCCCGCCCTCCTCAACTACTGACTGAATCGTCTGCCTACAGTTAGCCTCCCCCCAAACAAGGCCATCCACGCTTGCTTGCCGCAATAGCGACGTACAGAAAAAAAACTATCAATGTTTTCTAGCATGTCGTTTCCAAGCAAATCGAACCCATCGAATGGTTACACACCGCTTTGTGAAATTCCGGCTCCTTTCGGTTGACCTACTTTACCCCGTTGGCGACCAGTTCGAGGCGGTGATAGACTGTCTTCTTTTAGATTGTACGAAGGGTGATGTACTAACGGTGACATAGTATAGGAACGCGGTGGCTTCGTGGTATACTTGTGATAAGTGGGAGGTCTTCCAAGTTTCCGGTTATGCCGTTTTGGTTTTGTGGTTTCTACTCTTCCGACATCAATATACTGGATCGGGGTACGATGATTGTCGACCTTGAACATCTTTTCATTTTTTCTCTTCCTTTGCCTCGATTTCTCGTCTCCATCTTCTCTGCTGGATAGGAAGGATTTACGATAATTACGATCGCGGTCTGACCTTCGCATTTTACATACGTCGGACGTGCTTGTGGGTTCTAAGGTTTCCGAGCTTGTAGATAAAGCAAATCTGTGTAACTTAGTCGGTTTACCGTTTTCATCAGATCTTGCGGTTTTCTCCTCGCCAGTTAAATCCAGCTTTTCGTTCTCACGTTTACCTATCTCTTTCACTTTTCCTCCATCGTCATGCCTTCCTATCGGCTTATGGACCCGACCTTTTTTTGCATCGTGGTTTGTGATGCTCGAGCTAATATACAGTCGCGACTTTTCGGAACTGGATGGCAACTCTGCTTCATCTGAACTGCCAAGCTTTGCGATTTTGATGGTTTTATGTGGTTTATTTTTGAGAGGGTTGTCGGCCGAAAGATTAGCTGTCTCCTGGTGTGTCTTACTGGGTCGGCTACCCTTTTGCTTATCTAAAGTATCAACCGTATTCGGTGATTCTGACATATCAAAGCTGCTGCTAGGCGTTTCTGATCTGTCTTTTATTTTGGGTCGACCCGACGTATTCTTGGCCATTTTACCGATGGGTGTCTTGGACGTACCTAAATAATTTTTCAAGCTACCAAAAGAGCCAGACTTTTCACCAAGTTTACCGGTTTGGCCTAGTTTCTTCGGTTTAGTAGTTTGGGTTGACTTTTCGGACGTATCCGAGCATTTAGAGCTTTCCAGCTCATCCAAGGTACTAAGTTTATTCTTCGGTTGTTTGTCGACTCGATCTGGTTTATCTTTATTTGCTTTTTCAGCTCCGTCTGATGTCTTCGACTGCGACTTATTTGAGCTAGTAGAAACACTTGCTCTGTCTGAATGATTAGACGTTTCTTTACCCGCGTTATCGCTACGATTTGGTTTGCCTTTACCCTGTTTACATGCCTTACCTGCGTTGTCGGGCTTATCTTTACCTTGCTTTCCAGCGCTGTCCAGTTTTTGTTTGTTCGGTCTATAAGTTTGCTGTGGCTCTTTTAATTTATCTATCTCCCACGTCTCTGGCGTCTTTAAACTGCTCGATCTTTTTAGGCTACTGGATATGAATGACGGCTCAGGAGCTTTGACCCTTCGACCAGTCGCGGTAGACTTGTCGGCCTCTTTCGGCTGTCCGGCCGTGCGGCCCGCAAGCTCCTGCTTCCTCGGCCCTGTATGAGTATTCAGTCTTGCATCTGCTACAACCGACACCTTGCCGCTTGAAACGCGTTCATCGACTACCTCATTTGGTAACACCAAAATGGTACCAAATGTAATTTATTCGTCAACAAGGCTTAACACCTGGTTATCTGATGTATAGCATAATTTTCTTATTAATAAAAGTTTAGTGACGATAATCAGGTCGAGGAGGGAGAAGGGACGGGAGAACACATAACAAAGAAAATTACTCATTAACATTAACACTCTTTAAAAAAAAAACTATTTAATTCAGCATTCTCTTCGCCACCATAGGGTCGAAGTAGATAACCCGTTCATGTCCACCGGCTTCAACAAAATACTGATACGCTACGCACGCTAACTTGGCTCTCGACAGCCTGAGTTCAGACAGCTAACAATTTTCTATATCATAGATATCGAAGATACAATAGTTGATCGCTTGTATCAGTTTCGATTTAGAAGGAGAAATAGAATTCGATTCGTATTCAGTGAATTTTTATTTAGTCGGGCGAGCAAATTTTTACTCTTACGTACTACCCCTTCATATCGGCTGGTGCTCCATATGAGCAAAGGAAGCCATGCCAGACGTAATTAAGATTGTCACCTCTTACTTTACTGCCTTAGGTTAGAAAATACGTGTATTTTAAGCCCATTTCGTCGCCGCAAGACGTCCACTGATTACTCCGACAAGTCTATCTTTAGTCGCTTAAAAAAATTAGAGGCAAGCGGTGTTTGTCTCCCGTCCACCCTTACCCACTCTTCCCAGCCATTACATGTAAGAATCTGTACATAGGTTTTTCTTATAATAATAATAATAGTAATTCGCGCTGTATTTACAGTAAAAATATGGGCGTCAAACGATCGTCTCGTTGTGATGATTCAGGGTACATCGAACCGGGCATAAGCCCGCAGAAAGTAAGAAAACGACAAAAATAACTAAATATATAAACGAATAAATGTATTTGCAATAAATGAGTGTAAAGAACGCGTTACTGTAACCAATGTATTAATCAACTCAATATATGGGAATGCCACGAAGATTTCCGTATTGGGCATATCCGATTGGTGAATTTTTTTGCCACGTTCCAAAGTCGTTCGACAGAACGGAGAAATCGAAGAAAACGTACTGGGATAATTTGCTAGCGTTTCGAGTTAATCTCGTAATACCGACAGCTCCTACGTCGTGAAGATGTAGGAATGGCCGGCCATATCAAAAAGCACAGCGCTTTGGAACACTGCTCAATTGCTAGATACGAATACTATAAACAACGGAAGGGCGTATTTATGACCAAAAGAGGCTTGCTACAGGATTAAAACGCACTGACGCAGATCTGGAAGAGCGCCTTTCGTTGTAGAAAATGTTTGATTTTCACATAATTTATAAGTACACCGGAGTCTACATTATCCCAAAGAAAATCTACGTTAATAGCAGCGGGACCAATAACATCGAAGGCAAAGTCCATACTTTCTGCATTCGTTCTTAAGCATATACTAGCATTTTGGTTGCCTTATGTAAATACATAAGGCAGCAGAGAAGTGAATAGAAACATATCTCTCACCGACTTTCCCGGGACGATCCTTATCCTTTGCAACTTTACCTTCTTTTGTTCCCTTTAGACCACCCAAAGTGTCAGGCTTAATATCCTTAATTTCCCTTGGAATACCCTTAATATCTTGTTTACCGTAGAAACGGGTTTTGTAAGTCTTCGGAACGCCTCCGGAAGAAGGCTCTTTCAAGCTTGCCGATTCCGTACTGGAACCTTGACTTTCACCTGGTCGGGCTGCTCTTACTGCAATACCGGCAACGTGTTATATATTTGAAAATTCTATAATCATTTAGGTAATAACCGTACTAATTGGCGTCAACTGGATGTGTGGAAGATGTCCAAGCAGGATATGCAAGATATTTATGAACAATCGTCCGTATATATTACTAGATAAGATGGACCTTGCGATTTGGAAACTACAAGCAAAAGTGTCGAACTTGCAACCAGTTATCGAAGTACATGAAACTATTTCAATAACAGGTACAAATTACGTCGAGACCGATAAAAACATCCATTTGTTTGCCTTCGAGGAAGCTCATATTTTCTGAATCGCCACAAAATGTCCACAGTTAAAAAAAAATAAGGCGCACTCATGGTGTATGTCTCTCGTCCACTTCTTCGCCGCCGCCATGTTCCAATATCTGTACCATTTTCGACCTACAAATTTCGCTAACAATAAACTAAAATATGGTCATCAACGGAAACGTCTGTAGCACCATGATGATGGTACAAATTCGATCGGCCATAATAAGCCCACGCAGACTGAGAAACCATAACTAGTTCATTTTGAAAATAGTCAACTTTAGATGCTACGAATATATACATAACGTCGACAGAGAAGAAATATTGCGTTATCGTGATCGGAGAATAATATGAACCAAAAAATAATTTCGTACTTGCGGTTATTCGATTATGTTTCCAACTTTTTTTGCTTAAAAAACTTATTTGTGAAAAAAATTTAAATCATACGTATAAAAACGATTCTACTGTGTAGTTTTGTGTGTGACGTGAGAAAGCGATTATGTGATCCGACAATAATAACCCTATCCTGTGTATTTAAGCAATTGCCGCTAGTAAGCTGTTGAGTTGTTAGACAACTTACTAGCGGCACTTGAGGCTCCCCTCTTCCTAGTGATAATCTCTTCCTGCTAGTACAACAGTCGTTTTCGATAGTTTGTTTTTACTTAATGGTATCTATGTAAGTCAATAACTTGAAATATAGCATCAATAACTTGTCCTTATTAGAAATCTATCCGAGATCGACATATGTTTTTTAAGAAACAGCACGGCAGCCATATTGGCAGCGATTAATCTTTCCCTTATTTTTTCATTACTCATTTTCCCGGTTGATAGCTTTTTTCGAACTGAGATTTGTACCAATATGGCTGCACTCTTGCTGATAGAAACGCACTAGAAGATGCGTGTACACCATCTACATAATGCCGTGCCTGTTCTAGATACCTTCCTGGCGTTCTCATTCAGTAACCTCTACTGATTTGCGAGGTTGGCAGCTGCGTCGTCAGCTTTTGCTGACGAATCAGGAATAACCTCGGCAAATCTAAAGCATAGCGCTTTGAAAATCTTACTCGACTTGTTGTCGTCTGTTGCTAGACACGAAAAATAGAAACAAGGAAAAGGCGAACTCGTGGATGAAGATATCTCCCGCGGAAATAAAAGGCATTGACTCAGCGCCGCTTTCGGTTGTAAAGGACGTTCTACATAATCACATGAAATTTCTAATTCCTTGTAGGTAGCGCCTATACATTATTCCATCATAGCCGAATTTAAGGTTACAGTTCTACAAGAAAATCTACGTTAATAGAAACGGAAACAACAATATCGAGTCACTTTCTGCATTCGTCCTTAGTCGTATACCGTCATCTGATTACTTTATGTACGTATATCAAGCAGCAGGCGCAGGTGACTAAGAACGTATCTCTCATCGAGGTTCCTAAGGCGATCCCTATCCTTGGCAACTTCAGGTTAACTTTCTTTTTGTGTCTTTGGACCACCCTGAGCGTCGGGCTTAACCTCTTTAATTTCCCTCGAAATATTTGCATCCCTTTTAACGTAGAAACCGGTGGCTCTATAAGGTTTTGGAACGCCCCCGGAAGAGCTCTCTACCGTGCTTCCGGAACTTGACGATTCTGCGCTGGAGCTTCGACTTCCACCTGGTCGAGCTGTTTGTACTGTAATACCGGCAACGTGTTACATATTCGAAGTCGTTTAAGTTATAATGCTATTAACTGGCGTCGCTCAAATTTATAGACCCTGTGGAAGATGTCCAAGTAATGAGCATATATTTGAATACTCCAAGAGCAATTGTCATATACTATAAGATACATATGGACCTTGCGGTTTGTAGATTGCAAGAGGTACTCGCTACACATGCGACCAAGAGTTCGAGTCGGAAGCAACACTTTTTGGTCAAGCATTTATAACGTTAGCTCCTTCTGTCACTTTCTTGCGCCATTACGAGTAAAATATATATATATATATATATATATATATATATTTAGGAAACGGCGCCCATATTGGGACTTTTGTTTTCGTTCTAAATATTGTATTTAATCAATAATATAAAGGTTTTTGCACGTACTAGAAATGTCACTCCTGACGGTCGTGTTTATTTATACAACCACTATCCACGATTACAGACTTATGCATGTCTGCAAACTATTTCTTGCATCAAACGATACTGGCAGATGCACCCTTGTTGACGTGTCGCTAAATTACGCTATATACCGCATAATTCTGATGAAATTATATACACTGACACCCCCGTCAGAAATTCCAAAAAAATCAAAGCTAAAAATGGCTGAAAATTGTAAACTGGGACGTAAATGCGCAACGGCTGAAAAAGGTAGTTAGGTCTTCAGGCACACTGTTGTTCGCCATAGTGATTTTACTGTTTTGCTGTGGAAGAAATTGGCTTTTGTTTGCTGCCAAAAGTAGCGAATACCTGTATAACCGGTATATTTAGGTGCCGTACTATATATACGGAGGAAGTAATTAAAATATGATGTATGTGCCGAATGAGTAAGCTCGGAGGCTGAAAATATATTTGAATTAGATCGTTTACTCAAGCTCTTGCGTGCAACAGTCACATTTCGCACAGTCTGCACACTTCCACCGTTCTCACGTTGTTTTGCTGCCTCCCAAGTGATGTCTTTGAACGAATACGGAACTTGACAGTAGCGGTCTACGACTGCCTTACCGGTGAGTTCTTATATGTTAGTTGTTATTGATTTAGGCGTATGTTTTCTCGTGGATGGTATCGTCGCTATTGCGATCGACACATCCTTCGCGTCATCGAGTATCTACAAACCTTAACAAAAATGGACTAGACACTGGTTATATATAGTATATAAAACCAGTATCCGTGTAAACGTTCCATACTCACTTTGGAGTTAGTAGACGCGTAGGCTTTCCATTTATCGTCGGACTATTAATAGTGCGGTTAAGAACAAAACCAGCCCAATCATTTACTCACTACTTTCTTGAGAACGATCCTTTGCTAATTCGGGTATTTCCTGCTTTTTTTGTACGGAAGTCTCCATCATTGACCCAGATACGGTGTCCACACTTGAAGTTGAGCTTGCCGAAGATCCCGTGGTCGAAGAAGGAGATACAGGAGCATCAACTGATTCTGGCAGAGGGCCTGAAATTGTATTCGCTGGAGTATTTTGTGGTCTGTGCGGCGTACTAACGGTTACCGATTCGTACGTTTTAGTTTTGCTGTTTCAAATTTAAAAAAATTGCATTACATTCTCTCACAGAAGGAAGTAATTAGATTTAGATGACGAACACGTGCAGGCCACAAATCTGTGGACATACAGTCCTCACTAGACGGCTTTCGTAAGCGTGTTTTACGAATCTCGAGCCAAAAACTAAGGAGTTTCTCACCTAAGGTCAGCCGATAGCAAAGCCTGCGTTGTAAATGTCGATGTTATTACTACACCGATCGATCGTAAATACGGCCAAGTTTTTTTGCATCATAGGCAATGATAGTACACATACGTAAACCTCGTGTGCTACCAATAAGAATCATTCTTATTTCCTCATTTTGTTTTAACATTTACATAAAGCCGATCTAAAAAACAAATATTGAATGTCAAGTAACAACAAAGCATGCCAAAATAAAGTTTCAAGCATGTAAAATTTCACTTAACGGAGGGCGCTTGCGTACTCCCAAAAGCAATTTCTCATACACACAAGACTAACATTTTCCACTTTTAAATGACCTACTAAAGGAAAACGACCGCGACGTGATCCACAGAGAGACATCTTTGCCATCTAAGACTTGGCTTGTAAAGTAAACACGCCTCCTTAAGTGAAAAAATAGCACGTGTCCACAACGTCGGAGATAACAGCCAAATTTACGCAGGTATAAGGCCAAGCATGCGTACCTCATGAATTCTGCTACAATAGTGCGCAAAGACACAATGAAACATCGCGAAAAATTGGTCAAGTAATATGTTTGGAACAAAATTTCATACGGATACAATAGAGGATCTTATGCTAATTTTGAAGAGTATTTAGTTAAAAATGGCTAACAACTCAAAATTATATTTAGAGCTAACTTACTTGAATTTAGCTTACTTTTTATCTAATATGGACTAGTTCCGCCGGCTGTGTTGCCACTGTAATGTTTTCATTTGACAAGCTTAACGATATGTAATGGTATGTAACCCTACATAAATGTAAAGTCATGGAAAAAAAGTTTAAAGTTTACAGTATACAGGAACAACAAAATTGTAACCTTTTGTGAACAGTTACCTGCATCTTTGGCTTCTGGAGAAGTTCTGCGTTCTTTGCGTTCTCTAGGAATTTTAACCTCTTCCGTTGGAGCTCTAACCTCTTCCGTTGGAGCTCTAACCTCTTCCGTTGGAGCTCTAACCTCTTCCGTTGGAGCTCTAACCTCTTCCGTTGGAGCTCTAACCTCTTCCGTTGGAGCTCTAACCTCTTCCGTTGGAGCTCTAACCTCTTCCTTTGGAGCTCTAACCTCTTCCTTTGGAGCTCTAACCTCTTCCTTTGGAGCTCTAACCTCTTCCTTTGGAGCTCTAACCTCTTCCTTTGGAGCTCTAACCTCTTCCTTTGGAGCTCTAACCTCTTCCTTTGGAGCTCTAACCTCTTCCTTTGGAGCTCTAACCTCTTCCTTTGGAGCTCTAACCTCTTCCTTTGGAGCTCTAACCTCTTCCTTTGGAGCTCTAACCTCTTCCTTTGGAGCTCTAACCTCTTCCTTTGGAGCTCTAACCTCTTCCTTTGGAGCTCTAACCTCTTCCTTTGGAGCTCTAACCTCTTCCTTTGGAGCTCTAACCTCTTCCTTTGGAGCTCTAACCTCTTCCTTTGGAGCTCTAACCTCTTCCTTTGGAGCTCTAACCTCTTCCTTTGGAGCTCTAACCTCTTCCTTTGGAGCTCTAACCTCTTCCTTTGGAGCTCTAACCTCTTCCTTTGGAGCTCTAACCTCTTCCTTTGGAGCTCTAACCTCTTCCTTTGGAGCTCTAACCTCTTCCTTTGGAGCTCTAACCTCTTCCTTTGGAGCTCTAACCTCTTCCTTTGGAGCTCTAACCTCTTCCTTTGGAGCTCTAACCTCTTCCTTTGGAGCTCTAACCTCTTCCTTTGGAGCTCTAACCTCTTCCTTTGGAGCTCTAACCTCTTCCTTTGGAGCTCTAACCTCTTCCTTTGGAGCTCTAACCTCTTCCTTTGGAGCTCTAACCTCTTCCTTTGGAGCTCTAACCTCTTCCTTTGGAGCTCTAACCTCTTCCTTTGGAGCTTTACCGTTTTTAACTTCTTTCACCTTGGCGGCGCCAGCAGCGGCAACCACCTTGACTTTCTTCTTAGGGCAGAAGCCCTTAAGAGCTTTTGGGCTTTTCACGTCTTTAAGGGCTTTTGGATGTTTTAGATCTTTTGCCACTTTGACGTCCTTGACTCCCTTTTCATCAGACTCCACCGACGCTGAACCCTCATTGACCTCTTTTACAATTTCCTTGATACCCTTTGGAATTTTAGAGTCCTTCTTACCTTTAAGCTTAAGGTCCTTGACAACTTTGACGCTCAGTTTGGCATCACTTGCCATTGATGAACTTGGGAAGATGGAAGCACCTAAAATAGGAATGGGCGTAGAAGTCATCACCGGTCCACCGGGATCTGATTAAAAAAGATTCACAACGAACCACACGCAGATCAAGTAATGTGTCATGTTGAAGCTATCGCGCCTGCAGTCGTTTTATTTCTCCTCCATAGTAAAAATGAATAAAGTATGTGATACAACACTGCATTGTTTTCTATGATCCTTGCGATTCTCTTTACTCGAATTAAAGCTGACTTGTTTATTATTTTTCTGCGGCAATTTCTATTGCGGTACCTACGAACGATATTTAACGAACTATTTAAGCTCTATGTACACTAATAGAACGTTCACCGTTTAAGGTAAATTAACACCTTTAACAAAGTTAAACCAAATAGATACAAATGATTAAGTTTCTTATTTGTACCTGAACAAAGCGTGTGAACTTCAAAATCAGCCGCTACAAATTTGCAACCAAAAATGCCTTCACAAAACGACAATAAAAACAATTATATTAGATCATACACAAATATGTGTGGGATCTAATACAGTGTGGCTTACGTACCTTTGGGTTCGAAGAGGTCTACAAATGTCACTTGGAACTCGTTCCTTACAAGGTCGTCACGTGCCTTTTCTGGACCAGTCCAGGGGCGTAAGGCTTCTACCCAGGCTCTATCTCGTGCTTTATCAGTTGGCACATCCACCTTTACACGCTGTTCAGTAAGAAGAAAATATAAGTTGTCCAGAAGCATGTGGCTCTTGATTATATCAGCGAACGTGAAACTTATGTCAGGGAACTTGTCCTTCAGGACTTTGAATAGAGCAAGCTCGGATTTTGACAAGGTATCCCTAGCGGCTTGCTCATCAATAAGAAGTCTCTTCTGCTCTTCAGTTTCGTTTGCTCGTTTTACACTGTACTTTTTGAAAATTTCTGCCCATGCTTTTTCAACTTGCTCGCTACGTTCTTTAGTAGGATCTGCACCTACTCCTCCTCCTCCCCTCAGATTTGGTTCTGATGCTGATCTTGGTAAATCTGTTTCGTCTGAATGTGTCCTGCTCATGCTGAAGCCATACATGAATTAAGTACATAAGAGAAAATTACATTTTTGATAAAAATGTACCGCCGCTGTTCTAACGACATTCATCGTTCATAATCATGTTTCACGAATCACACTACCTTATGCCTCAGGTTTAATGGAATATACAATTTTTCTTACTATAGAAAGGTTGATTATGATTCTGGATGCTATTTTGGAAGCAATAATCATCGTATCGTAGGCACTGATTTATGAAAGCCAAAAGATTCGATAATAAAATTAATCCTTACTGTTATAAACATTGCACCACTGATAAATATGAAGATACCTATCTTCATTCACACGCGATTCTAATCGCACTAACTATATTTAAGCTATGCGGCCAAGAATGATAGATTTCGGAAGAATTCGGACAATTGAGATTATTACCATTGTTTAACCAGTTAACTAGCAAACCATGACCTTTTCCAGAACCGGCATTTACTATAGCTAAAAGTCTTACCGGCGAACTATAGCTACTTAATCCTTCAAATACAATAATAATTTTCTTTTTTAAAAATATTTTGTCGTATAGAGGACATTCAGAGCACCAAGTTTGTCGTTATCGCAGGTCTAAGTGATCAAGTGGTGCTTTGAATTGTTAATTAATTTACGCTTTTTTTAAAATCCCCTTCAGCAAATGTCAGGAACGTATTTTCTGAACGCGATACCCTCTAGTGGAAGTAAACTCAAAATAACCTTCATCCGAACTACAAACTTTTTGAGGTGGTTATTAGGCTAGATGGAAGGTTTCTTTTTAAACATGTAGCGACACTTTTCGCCGTAACTTCACCGTACGACTGCCACTTCCACTCAGATTCCTAGTTTAAGAAGAATTATTGATTGACAAACAGGAGAACTCCTTGAATTTTTCATGTGTTGTCATTAGGTAATAAAACTTAACGATAGTCATTTTGTACGTACTAGTAGCAGCAGCGACCACCTATCGAGCACGCCTCAACACAAAAATAGGTCGTCCCTGTTTAGCATTATTTTAGTTTAGCCATAGTTGGCTTTTGCCGCGTCAGATGCCCTAAGGGAACACTTCAGAATACACATTAATGTATCGGTCTTTGACAGTATATACTGATATTTTATGTGTTGTTAAAGGCGCTCAACAATCGTCCCGAGCGTATGTATGTCTGTCTGTCTGTCTGTCTGTCTGTGCGAATTCCCAAAGCTTATTTTCTACACGTGCATTGCTATAGATGCCGCTCATCGTAGTAATTACTGTTGAACGCTGCTGAAGTGTGCTCAGTTCCGGCAGCAATTACGTGTGCCTTCATAGCGAAAATGTCACACGTAACAGGAAATTACATTGTAACATGTATGCCTGAGTATGTATGCCCCAACGTACATAAATTATTATCCCTACTACGGGAAAACTCTCTTACCTGAAGCAGTATCCGTTTGTATTCGTTTTCTACAATAAGTGACTAATATCGTATAGAAGGGTAGTGAATTGGAGAGCAAAAAAATCAGTGAAAGGCCTACTAATCACTTGGTGTCATACGAGGAAAAGTAGAAAAAAGCGCTGTCAAAATTGCCGCCATAGACATTTTTCACAAGTTTTTATAGCTGTTCAAATGACTTTACTTTGTTTATGTGACTATTACGTAGACGTAACGCTCACTAGGTTCCACGTAATGGGAACAGTTATATCCAGCGAATTAGATCAAACTTAAGATGTTCATTTTTAAACCCTAAGCTCACCGTATAATTGTTTTAATATTCGAGGTCTCAGCAGCACTTCATTATACCTACTATTCCAATTTTCATAAACTGCTTAGCGCTACACCTGATTGCAGAGGTGTGAGTTTTCAGATACGTCGCCTTGGGAACCTGATAGACCTACTAGAATGACAGAGTTCAATGCGCATTAGTTTTGAGCAAAATTAATTTTAGTGTATTATAACTTAATAAAATAATAATAAAGTTAACTAACTAACTAACTAATTTAAATAACTTTAGACATTAGTACTTTGGGAACCATTCAACGGAAACTATTGGTCGAAGAAGAACCTTCGCGTTACTTCTACTTGAATGAGTTACGCTAATATAATATTCCGTCACTGTCGAAACTGGAGAACTGAACTATTTTCTATTTTTTATAATAATAACAACTTCTGGTAATTATGTTATTGCACAGTACCTGCCCCCACTCTATCGTTATGCGAGACATCGGACAATTTAATGTATACGCCCGAAAAATCTATGCCAGCCTTCGTGTTCACCTCACCAATCGCTAAATGGCTATCGTATTAAGCATTGTTTTTAAGTTGATTTTTATTTATTATACTCATATCTTCAACCATGCCTATAGCCTTTTTATTTGTTACTTAATGATTTTCCTTCTAGTCTTTTATGTAATGCCTAACGTATTGGCGTCAAAAGCTCCTTCTATATCACTGATTCTAAAACAGCCCTTTGACAGCGTCGCCTATTAACGCTTACCTTAATGTCAGCTGATAGCCAAGGCACATCCCTTTGCGTAATGACTTCCTACAACTTCCTACAGTGGAGGTGAGATAGCTTTAGTTCGATTCGAAAAGCCATTCAGTATTTTGTACAAAGTCTCGACACATGCAGCTTCGACGTGTGTGTCTTAAGGCGCTGGAGTCGCCAGCCAACGATCTCAACGTACCTGTACGATGCTTTCCTTCTCGCATGCGCGTTAGCAGGCCAAAGAATTGTTTATCTTTTAATAGAATTGATTTCGTTTTGTTATTACAGATGACCTGCACACCACCGGGATCAATGCCGCAGACTGAAAACATTTTCTCAATAGCCAACCTACGCTCTGATAAGACTCGTACGGCCCTTGTATACTGTGCTACGCGCAGGAACTTTTTAATACGATTTAATATATCGATATATTGGCAATAAGTAGGATAGAATATCCAAGTAAAAACAAAAACTTATACCAGTGAGTTAACTTTCTTTGCGTCAATATCTGGTGTACAGTTAAGTAATGACCTTTGAAGAAAATGATAGCAAGTCCACTGAAACAACAGTTCAATAACTTTGATAAGCTAAAGAGGAGCGAGAAAAAATTATTCAAATATACACGCAAACAGTCACGTCTCATTTTATCGTGAACAACCTCACAGAAACCCGAAACACTCGTCGTGAGCTAAATAGGTTCGATGTAAACAAGGACAGATTTTGGTAAGGTATCATTTCGATGCTTCTCATTTACGAGGAATCCCGCTGGAAATAGTCTGCTACAGTGCCTACAAACGAACTGTCTCACTTTTCTCAATACACATGAAAATATTTGAACAAATGTAATATCTATTAATATACATATATATATATATATATATATATATAGCAATAAGCAAAATCATTAAAAGATAATACCGATTACCAATTTTTATTTTTTTTTACTTCGCTATATACTGTATCAACCAGCCCTCGCTTTTCTTATTGATTAATGTTTCATAGTGTCCCATCACCTCGATAATCTTATAGTAATCTGATTTCTTATTATCGTCGAATACAAATGCCGTTGTACGTTACTTTCTATAAACTATATCGTGCGGGCAGAATATGCTCCGCAGAAACCCTCGTACCACCTTGACACCGCTCCCGAGCGGCTATCAAATAACTGCTTAAAATGCATATAGGTATAATAACAAAAATTTATTTTCAGTTTTTGGCTAATAGCATTATCAAGCTACCCTAAAAACAGAGACGTTCAGAGTACCTGGCCGGTCGTAGCGTTCAACAGCACCAAAACAACGCTTATGCATAACTGTCTTTCTGTAGCTATGCGTTTCAACAGTCATATACAACTATGTTCCCTATCGGATTGGCTTGTTGTTTCAGTTTCCTAGTCGCTTCAAACATATATATATATATATATATATATATATATATATATATATATATATATATATATATAGAGAGAGAGAGAGAGAGAGAGAGAGAGAGAGAGAGAAAGACTAGTTACTGTTCTAGCATTCAACATACGTTGAATAAAAACAATCACAATGAAAAAACTTGCTCCTTCCAAAAGCACTCTCCATTTGGCCATTGTAAAAGGCAACGAAAGGCATCATTTATAAAATTCTAACAACAAAAAGACCATCATATTTCATATCCATACAGTATATATTGGCTACAAAATTGAGAGATATTCACTTTGTGCGGTGGACCTAAGTTATTATATTATGACTATGCATTATTAGTATTATATTACCACGACCGTGGTCGTGAGCTACTTAATCGAACGAATATTTTATTATTATGAATCAATCACATAAAATCTGGGTAAATCCTACAGTATTGTATTTATAAACTGAGAACACTCTCAGCTTTTGACGACTGAAAGGCTGATCGTTCATAAACCCCGATGGCATCCTGTAAAATTCGGTCGACCATTTTGGTTAATTCGACACTTTTTTTTTTTAGCATTCTGTTTCCAAAAGGTGTCGATGTTTCAACAATAGATCACTTATTTTTGGTTGTCATTCTTCTTTTGATTTTCGGATAGTATCCAAGGCAAGCTTCAAGCAGCCCCTGAGCAAATCGTGTGGTCCGATGAGTCCGCTGTTATCCATTTCGAAATCCCAGCCCTTGAAGTGGTCAAGTCCACATTCTGTCTCCTCGTCGTCAATGCCCTCCACGAACTTCCATCCTCGTTTCTCACGAACTTCGTCGGTGGCTGTCACTCTACACAGCTTGGTCTAGAAGAACCAGGACGGGACAAAAGAAACAATACATTTAACTATGTGTCGTACGTATGGCGACGTCATTGTAAAACATTTGATTTGTTACGGTCCTTCGTAAATTTTAATATTATAATGTCTTTATTTCACTTATTATACTATGTGCACAGTGTAACCGAACAGTGGCTTTTGAAGCATCCTACTAATATGTTGCTTAGTGAATTAACATATGATAATCCTTGGCCTAACCCTATCTATGTATCATTCATTACTTGTACTTCAATCCTATAAGAATGATATAATTTTTCCTAGCTACAACTGGTAATGGCTATTCAACGTAATCGCCCGCTTCTTCGATGCACATATAAATCAAAACTATAAATGAAAATGCAATATTTTTACCTAGGATCTGACGTGTGTATGTTCTCTGCAGGAATTAAAAAAAAAAACCCACATTTACATTGGACATATTTCCAGAAAATCTAGATAAACTGTTTAGTTCAGCCAAGTACGAGTTGTTAACAGTAACAACTTACTGCGAACTTTACTATAATATAAAAATTTAGATTAAATTATTCGCTTTATAAAGGCGAATGATCTATGAAATTTACAGTAGGTTCCACATCGAGAACGTTATTAAGAAAAAAACAGCAGGGCGAGTTGGTATGTAAAAGGCCATATTTGATAGTAAATGTCTGGAATTGCAATAGAAAAATATGCACTCACCGTGACCGAAAAAAGTGATTACGTATGGATGTACATATGTGCAGAATAAAAAAATTTAAATTCTATTAATTTCATCATATATTTAATGTATAGTATTAGACAGAAATGTGTAGATTGATGTTGGTAATGGATACGTACCGCTTTAGGGAAAGCTCTTTGGAAGAAGTCGAGATCTGTTGTTCGCCGTGCATCACTAACAATCCATATAGGATGTTTTTCACCTTTATATTCGTTAATGGCAAGCCTACAGAAGAAACCGGGATCTTCGTTTCGCTTCTGCTCGCCCCACCTTACCATGGCGGCCCGAAAGTTCTCCTTGTACTCTGAAGCATCAAGAAGTCGACTAAAATCTAATTTGTTCTCATCGGCGTATTCTTTCTTGAGGGGTCCCGATAGTCGGAGGATAACTGTCGAGTTTTCTGGCAACATCTTTATCAATTCGTTAGTTAAGAAGTCTTTGCCAGACTTCCGTTTACCGCTAAACACGAACACGAGCTTGGGATTACTAAGCGACATATCGCCTATTGAGTAGTCCGTTTTACAATTACCAGCTGTGAGATCGATATTGAGAGCCAGAGATGAAATGCGGGCCCGTTGTCCGGTTCATTAATCTATGCAGAAATTGTATTCCCTTGTAAACGCCGCTGGTAGAAGCTGCGCTGGCCTACGTTTAGCTGATGTCGTCTAATAACTTTATTGCGGACGAAATGCGAGGTTTCTGTCTTCAATGACCAATGGCCTCGGCACGACTGGCTGAGTGGCAAATTTGTTGGCTGTTAACTTGGCACCGTCGTCACACGCACACGAACAACCAACTACTGTTCCTTTAAATATAATACGGAAAGCTGCTAATCAACGGTTGACGTCGATTTAAATGAGGATCGCCAATAAGGAAATACCGGAGGAGATCAAACGCAAGAGACGCATCCGCTGCTGTTTGCACTGCGGTCGCTATAGAACGGTTTCGTGCACAAGAAGGAGCTGGGAATCGCCAGCTGTTGACGTAGCGGTGCTGCTCGTCCAAGATATGGCATGGCATAGAGAAAATGAAAAAAAGAAACGCCAAGACGGAGAAGGAAACGGGCGAAGGTAGCACAAACAAACAGAAGCTAGCTAGACGAGATGTGCCAGCGCCGATGGGCTCCCATCTTTGCTCGACGTACGTAGGTAGTCGCTTCGTCGCTTGATCTGCGATCAGAGACCTGCAACGGCAGATAAAGCACAAACAACGTGATGGAACAGACGCCGCGCAACAGAAAAAAACAGTACACGTAATAAATCCTTGTTGTTACACTGTGAGGGCTGCGGTTTCATCATTGGCTATCAGAATGTCTACCTGATGGTTCAATGCCAACGTGTTTGTCTCCTAAACCTAAGGACAGGTAAGGCCGTTGAGGCCCATGGGTACATTTGATCTCGTTCTGGGAGGTAACCGTTTAAAACAGTGCCTAATCACAGACATTGGAAGTAGCACTCGGGACATACCTAACAACATGCATGCTAATGCTTTGTTTTTATGACGCTAAATATTGTTGGCGAGTTTAATATTGAGAACTGCTTAAAGAGATTAATAATACGAAGTATATGCTGATCACACTTTGCGTTTTTATTTATAGAAAAAATATAGAAATAATAAAATTCGATTGACAACTTTCATGTACGATTTATGGTTTGCACCGCCACTGCATTTGATTGCACAACAAGTTGTTGGCCTTCTTTATTGTCCTGTACCGTCTATGAGACCGTGATTTAAAACCTAACGCATTATAACTGTCGCTAGATTCGACCGAAAGTTGTAAACGTAGCTATAGCAGGTGAGACCCAGAGATGTCCCCATTATCTCTGATGCCTTGTAGGTGATCAACACAACACGAAATTACTAACAGTAAAAACATAACATACTACATACTGCATCCGATTGTTACGTAAGTTAAGAATCGGCCACCGTTTAGACCACCCGCTGGGTCACCTAGAACATTTTAGTTCTGTGGTTATGAGGATATGCAACAGGCACCCCGAACTAGACATACCTGGTACAAGGCTAATAAGGTTGATTTTTTTTTTCTTGTAGATATGCACAGTTTCCGTTGTCTAACTAAAACTTCCCAAAAATAGACGTTCAATGAGCTTTAAATATATCATTCATGTAAATTATACAATTTTGAATGGAAAAGTCTTAATACGAGCTGACGAGATTCAGTCGAAGATCAGTATATTACACAAGTATATCTCTTTGACATACAGAATAAAGCCTTCCGTTTACTACCTCAACTTCCGATGATTGATAACTTAACTCCACCATCTCTTAGCGGTCTTGCTGCCAAATTCAACCTGAAAATAAACACGAATACTCGATGGGGGCATTCTTCAATTAGAAAGTAAGCCCGACTTATCTAAGATCATACTCAAAATACGAGGCTTAATGACAAAAGCTTCTATTAAAGAGGATATTGAACTCAGTTAACGTCATGTTACGTATAAAATAAACAGTATACCAATGTAAGCTGCTTGCACCTGATGATGTACAATTTCATGAAACGCTCATTAACCTGACCAGATTTGATCTACCGAGAACACTTTGAACTCTTCTAACGAAATATACGTTTCCATCCGCAAACGCTTTTTTTTTAGCGCAATGGACTTAATCACGAATCATTTGGGTTTTAACTGTTCTTCGAACTCAAGATCTCCCGCCTTGAATAGCATGTACAGGTTTTGAAGTGTGCGTCTGGTAACTGCTGAAAAGCCATATAGCTTTTATATTTTATCGGCATCGTGTATTCTCTTTTCCGAAACTTAACGCCACAAACTGTTGTTCCCGTTTTCTTCTTGCCGAAGACAACTCATCAGCTAACGCTTGGATTAGCACCAACTTGACCCGAAAGGGTATCGACTTTACTATAGGCATGAATGAACTAACCCGATAATAATAGTAATAAGGGAAATTTGTCTGTCGTAGTTTAATGTGGTTTCGCTCTAGAAAAGTGAATGATATTACTTAATTTCTTGCAAAAAGGGCGATAGTTCTAGAGGAACAAATGTTACTCTTATGATTGGCAATTAAAGCTTAAATACTGGGGTAATCATAAGCATTACTGGAAGCTTTGTCCGTCATCTAAAAATGTTTTCTTAAATATCACAGGGTTTATTCTGGTGCTATATTTGTGTGTCACGATAGTATGACAGGGCAGCTAACACGTTCGTCGTGTCGCGACCTCGTTGATGCTGACTGAGACTGTCACACATCGATCGCATAGTTTAAAATATCTACGTCGGTACGAAAACATCGAGCATCTTCATTGATATTTCGTCACGTGACAATTTTCGTCTATAAATATGTTCGTGCCTGCTCGATTGTTTCGAAAGAAAGAAAAAGCTCAAGGACTGTTGAAGACCGCGTATAGCCTGATGATCATGTACGCAGCTGTAAATATTTCACCAACATAGCTTTAATCCAAGAGCATAATACTGAACGGAAACGTCCACTCGAGAGATTAAATCCTTGGGCGTAATTAGGTAAACATTTACAAATCTGCCATTCTTCTTTGATTTCACGCATTGGAAAACCAAACACCTATGGCATGTTTCATTAGATTTGCAAAACAAGCTAAAATTTACGAACGTTATAGTATACAATATTGGCAAATGTTGAACACCTTTATCATATCAACAGTGAAGAAAAAATAGCACAAATTGTTTGGCTTGTGAATGTGGAACAATAAAAGATTCTTGTCAAGATATATACTTTTCTATTTGCGCGTATCGTATCAGCATATCTACGGCATAGTTATAAGTGCTACTTCTTTTTTATTTCCTAGTATTACAAGAGTTATAAAAAAAATATCATGTTTGTCAATCAATATATTTCAATATTTAGCTTCTATGTGACCTGAATGACAGCAACGTCCTGCCCCCAGTATCGATCCTACGAAGCAAATACAAGCAAGAACACTACTATACGTGTTTGTATACGGGTGAAGACCCACTTTGTTTTGAGCAGGAAGTCAGTTATATGATAGGATGCCTAATGGCGGTACTGGACGTAAAACTCGCTCTGTTCAAAAGCTATACTGCCCTTTATTCTTTACCAGAAAAGCGTAAAAAATAACGGGCAATAACAACAAAAGACCCAATCGCTGACTAAACGACACTTCCAGCAACTGAAATACAATTGTATCACAGATACTCAGTTTATCACTACCTCGCCATAGAGGACGCCATCCCTTCTGCTATTGTTTGTGTAAGGAATAAATTATTACAAGGCAAATACTACATATTGCGCGGAAATCTTTCCCTACCGCGCCTTGCCTCCTACCAGCTGACTCGTCCTCCCGACTCGCTGATGCTGAATTAAGGCAGAATGAGCGGATATTATCTCTACTGTTAATACTCGTCATCGTACAACGTCCTGTAATGTTTGCAGTTCTTGCAGGTTTTGCCGGTTCTTCGTACTCTTGCCAGAAACGTGCGCTCCCCATTCCATTCGATTATTTGGTCGTCGAATGCATGCTGTACCCCATCGATAATCCAGTTTTGCAGTGAGCGATCAATCAGTTCCACGAGGTGCTCAGCTGTCGTGTTTAGAATGGTGGATAAAAGGGACATTTGGGGTGCATCGGAATACGCTTCTATGAATTCTCTCATGGGAAGAGACCTGGGCTTGCTAAATTAGTTCTCCTAGATAATACCGTCCTTTCCTCTTCTCAGGTTTCAGCCTCCGAATCTTAGGCACTCTTCGAACTGCAACGCACAACGTTCGACAAAAACACTACAAACCATGTGACTGACTACCCGATATCTCAGAGTGGTCTTACTAATACAAACATGCCACTACTTGTGGCCCAAACTACATTCGCGCAGGTGCACCAAGGACAGGATATATGATAGACAGTGTGAGTAACCGGCGGATGACACCGCAGTGTCCACTCCACTACGTTCTCGTTAGACAGTTACTGGCTTGGGGCATTTTTCAGCTGACTGCGTGCATTTTAGCTTTCGTATTAGGGCTTCGCTCCGGTCAATTTAGAGCAGTGAAGTGCAGTGAATCAACTGAGTCGTAGAAGTAGAGGGCAAGGGAAATCCGAGGACAGAATCAGGAAATGTCCGCTGACCGGCTGCTACCAACTGTCGGTCCGGGCAACCAAAACATACGAACCTTCACGACAGAAATACACCAAAGATATAATAGTCGTAGCATTACTTTCACCACCGATATCTTGCCGCTTTGTTCTGTAGTGATTGTAGAATTAATATCATCCTGACCCCGAGCTTTCGCGGAAGCGGCCATAGGCTGCAAAAGCAGACGACAAATTGGGGAAGGGCAGCACACGAAAGGCAATCTCACCGATCGCTAGGCGCGCACAGAATTTTCTAAGTAATGGATGTAAAATTCGAAACATCTTTTAGACGCGCATCTAAACGAACATGGTTAGTTAACTAGAAATAGATTTTCCGACGTTACCAACAATTAGCTGAATTTGAACGTACGCGCGACAAAGAAAATTCGTGCTGTGTCAAATCTTAAAAATGTTTTTTAAATATATAATAGTATGTTAATCGATATATCCTATATTGTATATATGACTAAAGGTGTGGCGGCAGCAAATGTTCCAAATATATGGTGAAGGTTAAACGACAACACGTTTATAGGATCTCCACAGCCCCGTCATTACGACGTCAGTATGTTTACTTTTACAGTCAAGCAGATAGAGTCAACGGAGTGCTACGATGCATTGACGGGTGGTGCAAATCGTCATACGCCTCGTTCATCTGCTCGCGGCACCGGTGTTGATTTTACGGAGCATTCGACCGCAGTCGTCATATAGCCAAACAGCAGCTTTGTTAACTGATCTTAATATAAATTTTGCAGTACTGGTTAAATCAAAGAACTGCGCTATTAATGTTGTGATAAGAATTCCCAAGATTATATTATAGTGTAAAGCAAAGGCACAGTATCTCTTCTTTACCGTTAGATGAAAATTCTGCTTTTATTTATAAGCAGCCCACAAATTGCTAAATTTTAGATTTAATTCGTATTTCAATAGTATTTAGCATTTGTTGACACGTCTAGCTCCCGGTAGCATTGAACAACTCATATTTTAAATAATTTAGATTAAATGTATATACATTGCGAATACCTTGCATAAGTAAACCTGGGTTATCACAGACGTAGCTAGCGGCTTTGCCCATTCGAGCCTCGAGGCTCGATTTCGGTGGCGGCATTTTTGTGACTCGGCGCTCAAAGCAATACGCTCAGCTATGCCTAATGTTTCTCCAGTGTCATAGACATTACATAAATGTTAAAGCTTTATTGCCTAGCAACTTTTGGTAACTACCTATTGAATTGAGTCGTTGTTTTTATATTCAGTTCTTGATCTCGTTCCTAAACGTAGGTATCACTTTAAAACGTACTTGTTCTTATAAATATATATTTTTTTACTTGGACTCCTGCTGGCCTAGATAGAACAACCGATCTAAATAGTTGTGACAGCATTGATGATATTGGCGCACGCCTGGGCGCCCTTGCCAAGAACAAAGTCTTCATGTTTGCCTTCGACAACGTGAACGGTCACCTTGCCTGATACGCAGCTTGAGAGGCCATAGTCTTCGGGAAGGCGAGCAGCCATATTCCGAAGGCGCGACACTTTCACAAGTGTGACATCGCCGTCGAAATTGTGAATCACCTTGTAATTATTGCCACAGAGTAAGAAATCATAGAAAGCCCGTGCAGCGAGACCGATCTGTTCAGCTGACGGCTTGTCATCCTTGTTAAGTTCTTTACTCTGCAGAAGCATGTCCGTGACGTAGTTAAGCTTACCTTCCCAGCCAGCGATTTTTGCGAGGGTCGCTTTCAGCTGTAATTAAGATAAAATTACTTAAATATAACAACTTAAAATATTTAAGTTGGTATCAGCGCTCATTGATGGTACAAGGATCAGGAAAAATGATCGTAAGATCTGATGAATATAATTACTTCAATTATATTCATTATACTTTGGTTATCTACGGTCGCTATGGTTAGTTAGTCCTAAATAACTGGATAAATTCTGGTTTTATTCATTAATAGAAATTACCTTAAGGTAATCGATGTCGATGTATTGCATTATGAACGCGCACAAAGCGCTAGTTTCTTCGCCATCGATATCGGGAGTTCGGCTTTTATGCGCTGCCGTGTGAGCGAGAAGGAACGTAGGCGCGCCGTCAAGTAGGACAAGGCTGTTTATTTTATATCCCTGCTTTTGTAAAAGACACGCAATCTCGAAGCCTACGGTGGCGCCAAACGAGTATCCGACAATGTGGAACGGCTTATTCTTCGGCTGCTTCGCGATCATTTTCTACAAAATAAAGTATATTGGAAGTTGAATTGAATGTTCTTATAGTCACTACTCTAAATTAATACTCTAGTACTAACGTGTCAATTAGTAAGTAACTTCGTGTGTCGTATGCATGTCTTGGTAATCGATGAATACAATGCTATATTGTAGTCAGCATGATCTGAACGTACTGGCATGTAAGACACTGCGAGCTGCTGGATTGATGTAATGGGCACATCAGCAGTACGTTGGATTCCGATAACCTGTCGTTCCAGTTTGCTGGCGAGTTCCATTAGGTTGTCCACATTACCCTCAATCGGGTGTAACAGGAAAATAGGCTCATCGGTTCTCTTAACCGAATTCATCTGAAGTAGGGGTTGTGTGGCGATAAGCTGCTTTTTGAGCACAATCTTTGGCACGTCGGCTATTGCTTCTGAATGGTGTTGCTGTTGCTGAATGATAGACGCCTCGATTTTCTTTTCAGTGAATGCAGCGTTTGCAGTTGGTTCGGTAGCAGCTGGGACATCAGCTACTGGACCCACTCCGGATTGCATTTCCTTGATTTTCGCCATATTTAGAGTGCGAATGTCCTGGATCGTTAGGTGGACATCAAGTTCCCTTTCCAGAAGTTGCTACAAAAGAAGAGTAAAAGAATGGTCTGTTGGTTTGGCTCTATACAATGACCGTAATCTATTATACATGGCTCAATTTATTGTACAGCCCGGTCACAAAGGAGAGACCCACCTTAACTTCGACTCCCATCAGCGAATCCATACCAAGTTCTCCGAGAGTGGTGTTTTGGTTTAGTTTAGAAGCATCTTTCACTCCGAGGACATGGGCGACGCTGGCGCACAAGTCAGCGCTACTGCTGCCAGCCGCTGTCTTTACGATTTCCGCTTTCACCAATGAAGAAACCACTGGGTGATCCTGCGCCATGAACTGATCCATAACATTGAAGCACGAAATAATCCTCTGGGGCAAGGTACCTCCTACAACAGTTTCGTTACCGCCCATCGTTTCAAGGACGACACCGACATCTCCAATAGCACCCCACTGGATGGCGAGTCCAGCAAGTCCTTGAGCTCTGCGCTGCTCGCAAATACGTTCCATTACCGAGTTAGCATAGCCGTAATTAGTCTGCCCTGCGTTTCCTCGTCCACACGACACTGAAGAGAACACTACGAAGTGTTCCAGCTCAGGACACTCTTTACGGACAGCAACGTCGAGGTTCTTTGTACCCTCTACTTTAGGGGCTGATACAATGGCGTAATCTTTTGCGCTTTGGTTCTCAATGAGCGCATCTCGAAGCACCATAGCCAAATTAAAGATACCGCCGATAGGTTGTCCAAAGATTTTCTTTGCTTCTATCAGAAGCTTCGTTGCCCCATCAAGGGTCGCTGCATCATTCGTAAGAACATGCACCTTAACTCCTGCCTTCTGCCAGCGGCATATAGCGTACTTCTGATAGCCGGTTTTAATTCCAGATCTAGAAGTGAGGATCAACGATCGAACTCCTCGGCTAATCATCCAGTCAGCAAGCTCAAGCCCGAAACCACCGAGGCCTCCTGTAATAATAAAAGTCTTCTTGTTCGAGAAGCTGGTACGTGTGACAGCGCTGACTTTCATCGGTGAGGGAACGACCAATTTCTGCTGTTCTTCGTCGCGAATTTTGATAACAACTTTGCCCATGTGTTTTCCAGAAGCCATAAAACGGAAAGCTTCTTCCACTTGCTCTTTATCAAACACGTGGGTGTCAAGCGGACGTACTGCTCCACTCTTAATTCCTTCGGTAACTAGGCGAACCACTTCGAGTTTATCATGGGCGACGTGCGGGTCGCTGCCAAACAGGGCGTCAAGTAGGATTCCGTGGAAGGTGATGTTTTTAAGGAAGACGGCCATTCCTAGAGCCGAATTATTGCTAAGGTCGAATTTTCCGATTTCTAAAAATCGAGCATGGTTGGCGAGACAGCGAATTGAAGCTTGCAGCTTGTCGTCAGCGAGCGAATTAAGGACTAGATCAACGCCTCGGCCTCGAGTTTCGTGCATAATGTGTTTCTCGAAGGACAGGTTACGCGAGTTTGCGAAGTTGTTGTCCTTGAGTTGAGGGAATCTATTTTTTAAAAAATTGCGCTTCTCTTGCGATCCCACAGTGGTATAGACTGTGCATCCCATGCTGAGAGCGATGCTGATCGCGGCCTGGCCCACTCCACCAGAACCAGAGTGGACCAAAATAGTTTCACCCTTACGCAAACGACCGCGGATAACCAAGGCATAGTAAGCGGTAGAGTATGCGACCGGCACGGTGGATGCCTGTTCCAAGGTCCATGCATCCGGAATTTCCCATAGAAAAACGGGGTCCACAATGACTGAGGTAGCCAAGCCCTCTGCAGGAACCTGACCCATGACACGCCGTCCCTGAGGATCCCGGCCAGAGAATTCGAGTCCAAGCACACAATCAGAAACGGCTAGATCTCCTGGAAGCGCATCCGGCGGAAGTTTACCGGTGGCCAACATGATATCACGGAAGTTCAAAGGAGCGTAATAGACACTGCATAGGACTTGACTGGTTTCGGGCAGGTTGCGTGTGATTGGTGACTGATACCATTTCAGCGAGCTAAGGTCACCTCGAGTCTGTACGTTCAAGAAGGCATGCTCCGTCGAGATATAATTCAAAGTCTTCTCCATTGCGTCCAGGGTAAAGTGACGCATGGTTCCCCATTCGCCATTCTGGAAGACGTTCATCACTAGATCCTTAGCCACGATCCCTTTGTAGAAGGTATGGGCAAATGAAAAATCAGGAATCGTGCGTTTGTTTGTACGAGAAGCGTCGAAAATGGCCCTTACATGTGAGCCACCAACCTCTTGGCGAAGGCAGTTGACGAGGCCGACAATTCCGCTGTCCCCGACGTCTTCTGCGAACAGCCAAATGTTTTCACCTTGTGGCTTGCCCTCGAACTCCTGAAGCTTCGTCTTCAGAAGCTCCACCCAGCCGTACTCTCCGTTCTTGACCTTCAAGAATGTATGTTTATTGGTCTGCGTGTTGTTTGGCTTCCGTGCCAGAAAGCTTGCTGATGTGCTGTTTGTTCGCGATGCGATATATTCGAATCCGGCACTTTTCAAAGCGGTCTTAATATCCGTCAGTTTTTGGGCGTTAACATCGAAATCGATCACGGTACTAAGGAACTTCTCTGTGGTCGAAATTGCGTGGCGATGATTGATAAATACAAAGCCGGCGTTTTTTAGGAAGCCAGAGACCTTCCTCAAGACGTTAGGAAGCTCAGTTATAGGTACAGCTACATTCTTCAGCACAACGAGATCATTATCGGCTGATATGCCACTGGGTTCCGAGGAAATATCCCATGATTTGCTTTTAGCTCCACTGGGTAGGTTTTCCTCAGAAATGCTGCTAGGATTTGGATGAGCCACGGTATAGTCTACGCTATACCCAATGTGTGATAGATTAATGTTCTCAATAACCTTTTTACCCATGGGGCCATTGTCAGTGTTAATCTCAGTGATGCGAAGTTTCCTGCCAGAAACATTTTCGACGACTATATCCATTAAAGGCCTGAGATTTCTCTCGTTCCATAGCGATGCGTTGAGAAGATCATATTGAATCTCTTCCTTACGGCCCTGGAAGGCGTTACGCAAAGCACCATTGATGGGTTGTCCATTTTCAACTAATTCAAGTACTTCAGCAAGCAGCTTTATAACTACTCCTTGGACGCTGTGCATGGTAATATACTTCTGGATTACCTCCTCAGATACCTCAAAGAATCCGTTCATTATTGCAGTCTTGTTTTGACCTTCCTTTTTTAGGATGCGACTCAAAATCGTGCTGCATGCGTTCACGTACTCTTCGTTGGTCGTATCGCTAACTTCCATAGTATTGGGCGTAAAGTGGTACTCCTCGAGGAACGGAGCGGCCTGTGCGTTTCTTCTGGGAGCTATGTTAGCTTTAAGGCCCTTAATAACAGCTCCTCCAGCCAGACAGGTGTTCATTTCCTTATCGTAATAGACCGTAAGGCTTTCAGGTTGGTGTTGGACAGCCTTAGCGTGAGCAACGGGATCAATGCGACACTGGCTGACTCTCACGGGGAGGTTTAGGGTTCTGTACTTATTGCCAAGGATCGTAAACTGCAACATGGTGTCGAGGAAGGTAACCCAGTTATCTGCCCACTTTAACTTACCGAACGGAGCGTTAATATCAGCTTGAGCGATGCCGCGAAACATCCCGTGGTACTCGTATCCACGCAAACTGAGTTCCTTATAGATATCTGATCCTTCGAGTTCGTATTTGACTGTTTCGGGTACCACAGGAATGTAAGAATCGAGAAATGCTGCGTTCTCAGGAACGTACGCTTTTCCAGAAGCCGCGACCATTCCGCTTTCAGTAATCTCCCACTGTCCAGTGGTGACCATAATGTTTACAAAAAGCCGGACGCTTCCGGTTTTCGGCAAGATTGTAGCACGGTGCAGAGTGACGTTCTCGAAGATAATTGGCATATCAGTCCATTGCTTACCAAGCCGCCTAGCGAGGGCCTTCCATGCAAGGATCATGTAACCAGTAGCAGGGTAAAGCACACGACCATCAATTTTGTGACCTTCCATATATTTTTCTGGACATTCCTCGTTAGACAGATCAACTTCGGTAACATCTTCCGCTGAGCTGGAAGCTCCTTCGAAGTCGTTCCATTTGCACACTCGCCAGTCGAGACCGTGATCCCAAGCAACAAATCTTGAAAGGTTCGGTGTCCCTCGCGGAACCGGGTACTCAACCTTGGGGTATAACGCCGACATATCAATGTCGACATTCAACATGTGAAGCTTTCCTAGGGCGGTCAAAAAGGTGACAAAGTTATCGGTGTTTTTCCTCATCAGTCCGACGGAATCGCACCTGGGACTAAGACTCCTCTTGAGGATGGCTTGAAGCAGGGCATGTGGAGCTATTTCGATACAAATCGCATTGTCAGGCAGAAGGTCGAGCGCTTCCTTGAACAGTACGGGCGATACCAGGTTGTTGACGTGGTACTCAGCAGAACAGGTTTTGGCAATGGGTTCGTTCCAGCGGCTTTTAGGGATGGAGGACGAAATCCAACGCGCCGAGCGGGGTTTAGCAACGGGGACTAGCTTGTTGAGAGCGGCTCGAAGCAACGGAGCAATCTGTTCCATGTACACAGAATGAAAGGCAACGTCATTGGAATTAACTTCGCGGACGAAAATGTTTTCGGCTTTGAGTTCAGTGCAAATAGATTCCACAGCCTCTGCAGGTCCCGTGATCGTGACAGAATCCTCACTGTTATGGCAAGCCGGCGTTACACCATCGCGGCATCTTTTCGAAACCTGCTCCCACGTCAAGCCGACGGCAGCCATGGCGCCCTTAGGCAGATCCGAGATCTCTATACACTTGCCACGCCAATAGGCAGCCAGCACTGTCTGCTCTGCGGTGAAGCCTCCATCAGCGTATGAGCAACCCAATTCACCGACCTGTAAAGAAAATCAGTCATACAACAAATTGCTTGTGAACAGGGGAAAGACACTGGACTCTCTTGAGGTTAGCCTCAGATACGTATTTCTTACTCGCAGTCACTGACATGTTTCAATAATTTGTAACTTAGTTACCACCATTTAGTTTATTAATTTGGACTCCTCTAATTAACCGATCTACAGCCAATTCTTTGTTCTCAGAGTATTATTCTGATGCCATGTTTGAATGGATAACCTAGGCTTTGCTTCAATCTTCAATATTACAATATTATAATCTTCAATATCACAACGCTTACCGAGTGTCCAACAATTCCATCGGGGCGGATACCCACTGCAAGCAAACAATCCGTGAGCGCTACCTGAACAGCGGCGATTGAGACAAACGGTACCACCGTCGTGGTAATTTGGATTTTGTCTCCAGTCAAAATCTGCAAGAGATCGAATCCAAGAGGCTCGAGCAACTTGTGGGACTTGCGAATCGATTTGGCAAACACGTCAAATTCCATCATTTGGCGAGCCATGGTGGGCCACTGTGCACCCATACCAGTGTAGATAAAGTAAATGGGTCGCTTTGTTAGTTCGGCGTTATCTTGGACAATGACAGGTTCACCGGAAGGTGGCAGAATTGCAAAACCTCTCCTAGTCATCAAATGGCTAGGTGCTTTATTTACTCTGTTAAGAAGATCATAAGCTGCATCTGGTAAAATTTCAGTGGCCAAACGCTGTAGAACGATTTCAAGACTTTCCTCGTTACGGCCGCAAGCCAGTACGAGGCGGGGTATATGAGGTTTTTGGCGTGTCACCGAGTTGACGTGCTCTCCCTTGTGTTGCTCAAGGATGACGTGCACATTGGCACCGCCAAAACCGAATGAGTTCAAACCAACGCATCCTCCAGGAAACGGAGTAGCTTCGTGAACGACCTTTATGGATCCGTTTATCAGAGCAGGAATATTAGGGTTAGGGTTCTCGTAGTGCAAGTTCGGAGGGATAACGCCGGTTTCCAACAATGTAACCACCTTCGCCAAGGAGCACATACCGGAGGCGCCTAAAAAACAATACAAGCAATTATCAGCGACGGTTGAACAGAATGTCGTTTTGACGAGGTTTAAGTAATTCAAACTAAGAACGTTGTATATTGCACTATTTCAGTATATTTTCTTTGTAAAATATGTACTCATATTTACTTTCAGCATGTCCGCAGTTAGACTTCACTGAGCCAACATAAAGACATCCTTTGCGGCCCTTACAAAACACGTTATAAAGAGCGCCCGATTCTTGAGGATCTCCAACCTGATCAAACAAATTTGTAACTGCGTTAACAAGATTGTGGCAACATAAAGGTAACAGAAAGACATATACATAGTAAGGCATATCTATGCCTTTCTGGTGGGTTAAGTGTATTTACTCGTATTTTGGTCAGTAATGTGGTTTTATGATGGTGAAGATATACTTTTATTGTGCATTTACGTACATTTATTAGCAAACTGTACCTTTGTTCCAGTTCCATGTGCTTCAACGTAAGCCACTTTCCTTGGGTCAACCTTGGCCTCGGAGTACACTTCCCTCAAAAGGATCTCTTGGGTGTGACCTCCGGGAAACGTAATTCCTTCGTTCTTGAAGCCGTCAGCATTAGCTTTGGCGTGCACCACCGTTGCATACACACGACGCGCGTCTGCTCGCTTCTGCAGAAAGACGCAGCCAACCGTTTCTGAACGTACGTATCCTTTACCATTTTCATCAAAGGCACGGCACATACCATCAGGATTCAACATTGACAGGCGATGGAAGTTTAAGGCGTTGCTGGGCTTCAAGCACAGGTTGGAACCACCCACAATGGCAGCCTCACACTGATTTGAACGGATGGCAATAACAGCCTAGAAAAGGATAGAAAATGTTAGAGATACTGTGTACTTCGCGGTCGGATCATGATAAAAACACTTATATGAACGGCATAACGTTACGCTAATGGATCTAACGACTTTAAGTAGTGTCTTTAACTCTTAGCGGTATAACTGAAATTTGCTAAGTTTATATTTTATACCTGCGTGAAAGCTGTCATGGCTGCAGAGCACGCAGTATCTACGGTGAACGAAGGCCCAGTGAAATCTAGAGAATAGGAAATGCGGTTTGCGAACATAGCGCGGCAACATCCGACCAGTGAGTAACCATTGATTTCGTCAGCGTTTTGATCGAGTGCCTCGCCTGACTCCGATTCCGAAGCGCCGATATATACACCGATCTTCTTCCTGTTCAAAAACGTGCGTTTATTAGTAGGTCATAACTGAATGCTTTGATGATTTCGGATAAAGTTAGCATGTATAAAATAAAACAAGCAACAGTTGAAGCCTCCTTTTTGGACCTTCATTATAAGAACGACGCTTGATTATGACGTAGTAACTGCGTAGTTGATTCGTATATGTAAATGCACCAGTGATATTAAAATTTAGCCAAGTATTTAGGCGCATCAAATACTTGGCTAAATTTTCGAAAGAAACAACACAAGTGAACTAACCTTCGAAGAGTAGAAGGTTCGTATCCGGCATCTACAATCGATTCGTATGCAGTCTCAAGGAACAGCCTCAGCTGAGGGTCCATGAGATGCGCCTGTTTGGGGTGTACTCCAAAGAATTGTGCATCGAACTTTGACAGATCCTGTAGTAAGTGTGATGCCGGTTAGTGTTTTTCTGCTGTTTATAATAAGAATTGATTCCAATTCTTACTCATACATTATTCATATGAATGGACAAGCATATTTCATCGATTACTTACGGAGTCTTGGAGTAATGGTGATGCTCATCTTCTTATGTTAACAATAAAACCCTTTAAGTAAATCTGCCTGCCATTTAATATGATCTCGGTCCTCGAGTCAAATTAACTTATTTTATTCAGTTATTTTATTCAGTATTGATTACTTTAGTTAATAAGCGCTGTCGGCTAACACAAAAAATCGTCAGAGGCATTTCAAACAGGCATACAACCTTGATCTTGCCAGCCCTTTCGGGTAGGCCGTACATCCCGCGTGGCCAACGCACCTCGTCGTCGGTAACCTAAAACAATCAGTATCATCCTACATTTAATCTGTTGTTGCCTCGGTCGTTTTCGGAAGTTTTTTTTTTCTTTTTATTTAGGGCGTTTATTAACTCTTTTCGCCGAAGGGCGTCATACAGGCCCGTGCAGGTTAGGTGAACATTACAGCATAATGAAGGAGAATGGTAATAGGCAGTAGATAGCTCATCGGAACATCTTGTATTCGAGCTACATTTTGTTTTATCCACGCATACGGATTTGAAAATCTTTAATTTTTAGTGACCAACGTCTATGTAAGAAGAACATTACAATGAAACATCTGCGTGTGTTGTTATTTGTAAAAGGCGTTTCATGAGAAAAATTACCATGTCCACCCCGTTGTAAAGTTTCTGCTGAAACTCTTCAATTCCATCGGCCTGGGGAAAATAACCGGATATTCCACTAAGGACGATGTCGTCCTTAACCTCCCATTGAAACATTTCGGGTCTGCCGTCTTTGTAGGACATTTTGTCTGTTTCTGAAAATAATAAAAATAGTAATAATCCATAACCATCATCAAAAATAAAACTGTATTATATCTACAGCTATTGAACTTTTACGAACAATGATGATAAATCATAGTAAGATAATAGCCATAGTTTGACTTATAAAAGTTTTTATATATAAAAATGTTTTGCTTGGCATCACTTCACTCGTCTTTCAGATCCGACCAAACATAATAGTACCATTGCCTTTTTGCAGGGCATTGTTATATAGAGAATAGCTGCAATCAGTTGTTTTACATCTTCATTTAATCACAATTTTTGTGCGGAATATGTCATTGGCGGAGCTTGAACCACCGACCCTATCTTTCTAAGTCAGGTGATCAATTATTATAGAAAATATAAGGCTATTGGAGCCTCCTTTTGTTCTTCGATAGCATTTAGTTTCATTGATCATCAACCATCACAGTCTCATCATCACTCCAGTACTACACGATACTTACTCAGAAGGTCGTATTTTACGAAGCCGATTTGCGCGAAAATTTGCGCTTCGAAAAACAGCAACGTTTGTTCACGCGCTACTTCACACAATCAAGTCCGAAGTAACGATGAGTTTCAAAATTTGTAGCGGGAATTTGATTTTTCTATATACGAGTCACCAATATGACTCTTGATTTACTCTGGAGAATAGAAACACTGTCCCCAGTCTTCTTTACTCCGCACTATCGAACCGACCACCGTACTCTTGCAGGATTCGCGCACCCTTCTTATAGCTGTCGGCCGCGAGAGGTCGCCTGCGTCATTCGCCCCATCGGCGGTGGCTCCGTCATACGGTGAGCGAGCGAAGCTCCCGCTTCGTCGGGTGACGCGAGACGTCATCCGAGATCGCGCGGAACCACGAAGGGAAAGTCAGTCCCATTATTGCCTTCCCTTACCTAAAGAAACGCAGGGCCGGACCAGCCGAAGCAAACATACATGGCCAGCACTCGCATCGACTGGCGGCGCACAGTCGTCTAGCAGGCGAGAAGGAGAATACCGTGAAAGCAGAAACACTCTAGGCGGGCAATACAACTTAGAACGTCGCTCGATCAGCAACCCTCGACTCTCACTAGTAACGACTACTATTCTGCAGTGGTGGTAATATCATAGTGGTCATCACAATCATCACAATTATCATTAACGTTCGCAGCCCCAACAGCTGCTGCCGTCTCCAGAGCCATCGGTGGCGGCCGTCGATTTCGAGAAAGAGTGCGTGCTTAATGTTTATGAGCATTGATACACGTCTGCTGCCTCACTGATAACTGTACCTTAGTAGGCAAGGTTAACCGTAAGCTAAGGTAGGTAGATAACAGACGCAAGATGGCTATGCCTAGACCATCATGACGATACGGCCGATACTGAGAGATATCGATAACAGTCGATGCTAATAATGGTGACATGTCGTCGAGCATGAGAGGAGAAAGAGGCTGAACAAAAACAAACATTGGTTAAACCGAGTGAGCTTGAATAAATCTACTAAGAAGATAGCATATGTATATTCATCCACAGTCGTGTTTTTTTTTCGGATGATTAGATCAATGATGGCGTGTTTACCATAATTGTAGCAACAATGTTAGGTTCAAAAGGTTTTAGACATATATTATGTTTGTATGGATAAAGTTTAGTAAAGAAGTTAATGCAGCATTGACGCATTGAGAATTTGCGTATGACGCCTCTTACGTAGTAGCTAAATCGAATTCTCTTTTAAGTAAATTGGGAAAGCTAATATCTGTATTTAAGTTATTACCATGTTGAATGCAATAGCAGAATTAACCGCATTGTGATATGTCTAATGGTAATATATCTAAAAAGTCACACCGAAATCCTATTTACATCCTTTCACTCACGAATTTCGCAAGAGAAGGAATTATAGATTGCCAGGAACAGGTATGTGACCCAATAAGTAAGAACAGATCTACAAAATTTGCTAGCATCCAAGAGCATTTCAAAAGGAAAAGTGGGACCATCAGAGGGGTTAACTGAGGGACATGAGCGGAAGAAAGGTCTCTGACGATACTACAAGTTCGAATCTTGAAAGCAAGCAACGCAAAGTGCAGGCATTATATCTTATCAAAGAAGAGTAACTCGTTTAAGGTCTGGAAATCATCTTCAGAAGAGGAGCTTTAGCTGAAACATTAATGTTTGTTGAGTTTTCTCGGTATCACATGTCTGAAGCAACAAAGGCTGAGCTTCGCCAAGTGGTACGTCCTGTACCTGAGTGACTCTTTAAAGGAAACAGTACGAGATCCCTTATTAGTATTAACAACGAGATTAAATGATCGCTAAGTTTTTATAGCCTTCACACAGGAATGGTTCCGTATATCACTGCCACGGCCTGAGAGGCTTGATATGGCAAAGCACTCGCGCAAGCTATAGATAGATCGCATCTTTCGAGATTTTGGAGGAAAAATAAAATTTATAACAACGGTAAATTTTTGAAGCTCATAGACTAATTTTTGAGGTGTTCCAATGTTGACTTTATTTTGTGCCAACATAATACGATTAACCTGTCGCACCCTAATGGACTACCATTTAAACCAATAAACCGTGCTTGGCATGCACCCAACGTATCCTTACATTTGCAGGACGACTGGACGGTGAAAGTAAATGGGAGCGAGCACTATATGTGGAGATACTTCAAAACAAATCTAGGCATTATCCGTTGACCACGACTTCCAACATCTATTAAGACTACTATGCACGAACTTTTCCAGAACAGTGGACAAGAAATATTGCCCGTTAGCACATCTTTGCTTTTGACTAATTACATACGTGTCCTTACGTGTCCTTTACACTTCTAGTCAGCTGTGAATTAATACGTTGACTATAGTAAGAGCTATCGAAGCAGTTGCGTCCAACCGCTTGTTCGGCACATTTGCAGCCCTAGGGCTCTACCCAGTTTTTGTAATTATCAGAACTACCTCAAGCCCGAACGCGCTGACGTAACTGAGTCCTGCACGGTTCTTGTTTTCGCGTCTCTTTTCGGTGTTTGCTATGCCCGAAAATCAGCTCGAGTGCCGAAAAAACCCGCAATGGTGGAACTAACGGTTACGATGTACCTGCTCCAGCAAGAAATCTAGAAACCTTAGAGCTGTCGTTCGAAGCCGAAATTAAGCACAGATGACACCGCCACTCTGAATTCTCCTCGACCACAGGGTTCTTCAATAAATGTCCTCAGTTCGAAGTGTTGTCTTTGAGCACCGTGAATCTGTTCTTGTTTTAAAAGAACAGAGTTCCTAACGAGTCACCAGTTGATACTGTGTCTCTGTAGATTTGTAGAATAAACTGGCTTGGATTGTTACGTACACATTCTTAACATCTGCGTAACTTGCTGACAGTGCGCCTAGATTAGACGAAAGTTCGAAAGTGTGTGAACGTCAGGCCAAACCTACTTCGTGAACACATCGAGATATCTATTATACTCAGCGTAACGAAACTAATTTGCAGGACATACCTGAAGCTAGGTGAATATCAACTGGATCACAGCCTTGAAGCCTGCTGATGGGCTGCTTTCGATGGCGTTTCAAAGTACCTGTTTTTGAGTGACAAAGGCTGAACAATAACGAAGTGGTGATCACATAGAAATCACGCACTGGTACCTGTCACGATTTGTCACAGTTATATTAGTACGCTGCAAAGCCCTTTTAAAAACTTCTCAGCGTCGAACTGGTGGAACGGCACCGTAACGACAGTTTATTGTCACTAATACAATACAACTTGGCCACACAGAGAATCCCACGCCGCCGTCGCCGCCGCCGCCGCCGCCGCCGCCGCCGCCGCCACGTGTGTATTATTCTTACGACCACACACAAAGAAGCTAAGTCCAAAAATACTATACTATATCTGCTGCAGCTAATGCTTTCGAAGCAAACTTATTTGCAAATTAATACTCATTTTACGAAAGGCCACTGTTAAGCTATTGTGTTGCCCTGATTTTCCGAGACCTTCCTTCTGATTATTAATATGAATCACTGTAAATAGTTACTATTCGAAGGAAACTTTTTCAATCTTCCCTACATTTAGGATAAATAAAACATACAAGATTGAATCTATCACGTTCTATAAGAAGTGACTGTCGCTAATGCACGGAGATCGAGTATATAAGAACAATACAACTTAGGAATATCTATGGATTTTATAGGCAGTGGTATTTTCGACACAACCATTTGTTTTATGTCCTGTTATCGATCTTTTTACATACATTTTCGAAGAGGCGATTTAATTATTTGGGTGACTGATTGGACTATCGGCGGTGCTATGCCATAGAAAGATGGGTGCCAACAAGTAATAGTAAACAAGGTTAATCAGAGAAAAATGTTGTTAATAGCTATGACCAATTTTGCAAGGCCAGTTCCTAGTTCGTGTACGTCCTTTAGCTCGTAGTGATATTGAGGGAAAAGCTTGTTTTTTGAAACTAATTTTCTTCTTTTTATTACTTTTATCTCATTTGATATAAATTTTGCAATAGCAACTTATACTTGGGAGTCGCATATAAATGTACTAAGCTATAAAAAAGTCGACAAATAATTTTATTGGAAACAGGAAATATGGGCATAATTTAGACACAGTGACATAAGCAGAAGTCCTATTTTCTTGCTACGAACAATGACAAACATTATATCGGTTTGGAATTCTTTAAGAAATTCGATTTTTTTAATTTTTGCAAACACAGCCACTGGGTCTTCCCGAAATCACCTCCCGAAAAATATTTTGAAAGTTTGCGCATTACGATATATATATATATATATATATATATATGTTGTGTGTATTACTGAAGCCACATGTACAATTTCTGCCAAGCTATTTCGGATCACGGGTGCCAGTCAACTTTTGCCGCATCTATCTCATTATATGACCCTAATTCAACTGTTCAGTTATACAGTATATAATAGTACCAGTAAGTTCAAAGTTACACTTAATGAGCGCAGATAATCCGGATATATATATTGTACTATAGCATACATATGACCGTATTGATGAATGTGACTAATTATTATTGCAGCGCCAATGTGAATATATCTGCCTGGAGCAACTATATAGTTCAGCCAGTCGATGAGTCATTGCCCTCCACCGTTGGGCATATTATGGATATGACAATTTCATCATAGTCTGAGTAACTGTTCGACAGAAAGTACCCCCTGGATTGTTTCTCCCACGAAAGGATTTTATACAGGTCAGATATATAGAGAATTGTATTTAAACAAGGCTAAAAAATTCGTATATTAGTGAAAAAAATAAAATGTTTTTTTCTTCGCAAGTAGAAAACAACACAATGAACGATCACTACGCTACTGTAGCATAACGTTTACAAGTTTGGGATGCCAGCTATTGATAATTTGATTTCCCAAGTTTCGATTTAACTAGAATTAGAATTACAGTCAAAAATTATGAGAGTTATGAGGCTGTGTATTTCTTCTACTGCACTAGGGCATCTGAACCGTCGATATTCTATAAGACTCCGGCAACATTATTTACCAAACGTACGCCTACCAGAAGCATACGATAAGCAACGATAAGCGCATAGACGTATCTATTCGTAGTTAGTGGGCATCAACAGCTTCGAAGTAGTAACAGCCCATTTAGAGATTCATAAACAAATGCTGTTGTCCTTATCAGAATGAGGAAAAGAAGAGAAAAAGTCAGCTTGAATTTTCTATAAATCATATTTTTATAAAAAAAATTATAAAAAAGATATTTTTATTAACAATAAAAATAGAGGTATTAGTTCAAATAAAATAGATATATAAAGAGATTAAAAAAATTAATAAATTAATAATTTTAATATGAAATTTTATAAAAATAAATTGGGGGTTAGGGATTAAAGTTCATCTAAGAAAGCAACCTAAGACAATAACAATAAATCCTATAATAATTAAGGGAATAGTTATAAAGAGATTTTCACTAAAGTTATTAGTAGAATTTATAATTTCTATTTTTAAAATATAATATATGAGTCGTAGTCTATAGAGAATTATGCGAAACAATCAAGGCAGGCGCTAACTATATTGTAGTGTCGTGGTACGTAGTAAACGCCGCTTAGGCTAACAAAAGCCTTAATAATTATACAGTGTTTAATCCATCCAGCTTAATAGTACATTGAGGTGCGTGTTAAAGTGTCAACTTGCGCACCATCTCACAGTAATTAGACAATGTATTATCAAGATAATTAAAAGTAATATTGAATCGGCGGATTTAGTTCCGTCATATATAATTGTGAAAATCTTAGGCAGAAGATATTTACACACGCGATTTCTAACAGTACGTAACCATACATCATGTGAGTTGGGATAGTTTAGAAAGTCGAAGGACCATATTGGCCTTAATTACATTTCAAACCTTTTCATTATGATCGTGTAGTTATCAACTGTTCTTATAGTTTTCACGTATAATGAATCAATCGTGCTGCAAGTCGTATCGCAAAAATACGATTTTATCGGTATCAATCTATTTGATAAAAATTGATTATTAAGCCCGATCGCTTTCCCAGATCCTGCCACCTAGCGATTAGGCCAATCTAGGTTAGGTTTAAACGAGTGTGTATCTACGTATCGAACGAGTAGCTCTACGTAGTTTGCCGAATCCACATTGAACGGCTTGTTTGGAACGAACTTCAGCTCATTGAAAACTGATCTTCGGAGCTTTGCAGTACAAAATCCAGACTCGTAATCAGTTGAGTTGCCAAGAAATAGTTTGCCTGTTCTAAAAAAATACTGTTGCAGCATTTAAGATAAGCACGATCCTTAGTTACACAGACGGATCGGAAGGCAAGTACTGTGTCATCAAGGGATCTCAGAAAAGCCTCACCGCGCTCTTACTGATCAGTGGTATTATATTCTATAATTCATAGGTAAGCCACTAGAAGCATATGTGTGAAGCAATATCAAATCTAGAACGTAAGCATACATAATATAACTACTCACAACAGATAACTACCAATTTACTTTTTTAGGTCACGTGGTTCTTAAGAACATTGAACATAAGAGGCCCTCGAACATAGTAGGTCCAGGCTCCTTATCATGTATGCTTGATATCGGTGGATCGTAGATCCATCCTGATAATTATTATTATAATTGTTGGTATTTACAACGAAATGTCAGCAGGTTAAAACGTGTCCAAGATTATAGCAGTGAGGGCCTTTTTAATACATTTCTCCTTCAGACTCCGGCAAAACTCAACCGTTCGAAAATCAGTCGATTAGCGGTTTTCATATGAAGCGTTTAAAACGACATTGTAGAGGAAAATGGCCAATGTAATATTGATAATAACAATAATAACCCGGTTATCTTGGGAAATAAGCCTACTGATAGCATGGACTAACATATCATGGATGTTTACTTGTATTCGCCAATACTTCCTTCCCCAGATGGTCGGCGGATATTAACAATGTCGGCCTTACTAAGACTTAGTGAAGCAATGTCCCTTTCGCTAGCATCAACTTACTAAATACTTGTTACCTAAATATATTAAAAATATATTTGCCATATATGTGCTTATATATAGAAAAGCGCCATCGGGTTGGCTTTTATCAAGCCAGTCAGCGTTGTCGTATAGGCTAGATACGTTTCTTATTCTGCCTAAGCCTTAAACTCAATTGTAAAGTGACGCAAGAGGCTCTGACTAGTTGAGTTATGAATCGGGTGGTCGCTTTTTTCTTTCTATTAGTTAGCTGGAGTCAAGTAAGTAACGGGTGGTCTTTGGGTAGATCCTCGAAAAAGCAGGAAAACAGAGCACGTGCCAGGCTTATATTGCGAATGACGTCTACAGAACCGGTAAAGACACACATCATAGATCAAGGTCTCCTATAGTAACGGATACAAAAATTGTCTCACTGGAGGATATTGTGATGGCAGTTGCATGCGAACAATAGCGTTTCTATGCATCTCGATCTTCTCTCGCGCATCAAATCGTTTAGTCAATACAATCACCGCCGGCCATTTTACGTGTACAGCTCTGCAGAGTCATACTGCCCGTCAAGTCGTACGGTTTCACAGTATTATTCAATTGTTATTATCATATCTGAAGTCATATCTATGGGCTGGTCTGTTAGGTAGCCATCTAGAACGAGATTTCAACTGAAAGGATTAGATAGAGCTGACCATATAAGACAGAAACGCTGGAAATCATTGGATGACAAGTGCTGCTGGGAAAGGATCAACGTTGAGAAGGACATCTGTAGCGTGAGCAAAACGGCGACCGAGAGTTATATTGAGATAAGGTAAAAATAGGCGTTGCCAAGGAAAACTATTCATGTTGTCCTATCAGGTTAGCTGTTATCGCAAAGGAAGCAATTTAACAACGGGACTCTTTTTTTTTTTTTTAATTCAATAACACCGTGCATCGTTCGCTTATCTGGCTGTTTCATGCCAGTAGCATGAAAAACAAATTTGTTTTTCATGCTGTGTATATGTTATTTATTGCGTTGCTACGGCGGTTTGCCGTAACCGCACCTAAGACGCAGGTAAGGGCCGAAAAGATGCTATCCAAAAAGGTTGTTTCCATTTCATCGTCGAACCATCTATCGTAGATAATTGGTTATCAACATGCAAACTTACGTAAGCGCTTTGGCCCTTCGTCGCAAACATGTAACCATAGGGGCTATTGAGAGGAAGCCACATCATAATACGAATGATAGTTCCTTCGATTGAGACTATTTTTGGAAGCGTTACTCAATCCATATTTAGCTTTGTTCGTATGGCTTTGCAATGCT